CAGAAACCCTCTGAATGACTGCACTTAACCTCGTGCATATCAGGTGTTGAGTTCCACCATGCCGGTGGATGCTACCCGTTACTCGTGCTGGTGTTAGCTAACAGAAAGGCGGGCCTTTCTAAATCATCAATGTCGGGGTCCTCATTCAAGGACATGTCCAAACGCACTTTTTTTTGGCGGATTCTCATCGCTGCCTGTGTATAACACCCACTACTGCGAATAGCGTCAAGGTTGTCCAACATATTGATGCTTTTCAGGTAAGCATGGCCAGGGGGGGGACTGTTTTCAGGGCACATTCTTGTCAGGTGGTTGAAGACGAAGTCCGCGGGGCAAAGCCGCTCCGAGGATATTTGGCCGACCGAGACGTGGATTTTGCGTACTGGCCATTGAATGGCCTCAAGTACTCCGCAGCTCGGCTTGCCGAGTCGCGGAGGAAGCGAAGGAAACCCAAAGGAACTGAAGCAAACCAATCCCGGGGAATGAACCAAACCGGCGAGTTTTCTTTTGGGGCCAGATCGGGAGGGGGAAGCCGGAAATTCTGCGAGAGGTTTGCCAAGGCCGAGGTTTTTGTTGGTGTTTGGCTAGCATCTTGTGAAGGTGCCAGTGGAGCAGCCGTTCACAGCCGTTCACAGCCGTTCACAGTCTAGTCATGGTTGTTGTTGGGAAACATTTTACATTTTTGCTTATTGTGGTTTAGTGGGAAATCCCCACTTAACTGCTCCCCTTCCAACGTCAACCAAGTAGTCACCTGTATCCAAGATAGACCCAAGTCACCCGGCTGGGCATGCGCACTGACGCAGAGGGATTTTTCAGAGGGAACTCAAATTTCTGACGTCCACCACAGAAGTCCATGGCCAAAACTCTCACCTTGAACCAACAAAACCTGCATGCTACTTAAGGAGGGCTACTTTACCAAGTCTGGAGACTTCGTGCAGTTTGACCATCCGCCGCTGGGCAACGGTCGAATTCGCGTGTCGAATTCGCGTATCTTTGGTTGAGGCGAAGGGAACTCCGACATCGAATCGGGCGCGGAACGGAAGCAAAGCCGGAGCGCGTTTTGGGGGTTCGCTCATTTTGCGAAACCAAAGCTGGATAAAAAGGCCGCGGTTCTTTACCCGGTTGGATCCTGCCACAGCTCGCTTTTTGGTTGACTTCAAGATGCCCTGTCTGCGGATGCCGAAGTTCGGATGCCGAAGCGGAGTCGAAACTCCGGAGTTGGGCACCGAGACCAAAGTTGGAGACCCTTGGCCCCTGGTGATGGCAAGCCTTTGGAAGGTGCAGAGTATCGTGGAACCTGGGAAGCCATTGCTAAGAGGAAACCCTCTATGGGTAAGAAAAGGGGATCCGCCTTTTGTAAGGGTGCGGTTGCGTCGAAGCTTCTGCTGCCTAGTCAGCTCCCTGGTCGAAAGACACATTTGTCTAACTCCCCTTGTCTTTGGTGGTTTTTGGCACATGCCACCTTCAAAACGGAGGTCTTTTCGTTGACCTTACAAAGCGTGTCCCTTTGGTCTCGAAATTAAGCAACCCCCCAGAAAGGTCACAGGCTGTTAAAAACCTGGAGGCGAAAGCTGTGTCACACGTGTTTTCCCCTGGCTTTTCTGCAATTTGTCATCTCTGGCTTGTGCTTGGCAGTGAACGGGAGAATTGGGACAGCATTGATTTCATGCATAAATGGTCAAAACCCAATGTTTCTTGCATAATTGCAGTTCAATTGCTCGAACATCTGAACCGACAAGCTGCAGCCAACGATCACGGCTGAAATCCTTCTCAATGGGAAGCCGCTGCCTCCAAACAAGCTACGCATGTAGCGAAACACATCAGAGTGAAGCTGGGTTGTGATATAGTCTTGCAATGATTGCCACCCTCTGTCCATACATTGAGTCCCCACTATGAAACAAGCGGGTTGTTGCGTGCTCTGGTCACAGAGACTCTTCTAGCAAACTCATGTTTGCTGGGATGGACATTGGTGGCTCTCAGATGCTTTTTGCCAGCGTCACCCCCCCTCCCTGGCTCACAACTGCAACTCGACACATCACAGCCCAAAAGCAACAAACAGCAAGAACAAAGCACCAAAAGTACCAGGTTTTTTTACCAGCCTGTTTCCCCCCAAAAGGGTACCAACTCAAACCAACGACACACACACACACACACACCTAATTCGTGGTTTGATTTTGTGGTTTAATTTGGGTTGATTTCCCATTTACAAAGGATAACGTGGAGAGCAAGAGACTCCTTTGCTTCCGCATGAGCACCGAGAAACCCATCAACTTTGGTTTTACCAACGATGGCCATAAAAGATCTTACTACAAGCTCGTGAAACCAAAAAGTAGAACCAGGCAGCCGCCTACAAAAACGCCCCAATGGGGGGGCGAGGTTGCGCTCTACTTGCATGAGAAACACGTACAAATCCGAGGTTGTTCCCCTATTTGGGTCATTCCCATGACTACTGTGTCATTATGAAGCGGAATCCCTAATCCGCGGCACATTCTTCCTGCAAAGCCCCAAATTGGGTATCCCTGTATATCGTTTTTCATGATCCTAATCAAGAGCGAAATCCGCCCACCATGGGAAAACAACCCCCCCCCCCCGCCCACTTATCGCCTTCCCAAAACAGGGAAGGAAGCTGATCACGGGAAGGACTCGCGTAGCTCAGGCGATGGGAGGACGAAGCCTTTGGCCTGCTCATGCCGAGCCCTCGGTTTTGAGCCGACCGCCGTTTTGGTGGGTGGTTGCCGACCGCCGTTTCGGTCGCCTTGGGTCGGAGTTTCGGTCCAAGTGGCGATGCTCGTTGCTGGACTCACTGGTGGTTATAGAATACCACCAGATGTCGTTAATGTTGGAGTGAGCGTCCGTTTCGGGGGCGGCAAAGGGACTCCCAAAGGAAACAGTTGTTTGTTATGAAAAACACGATTTTCCCAATTTCGAGCTTCTTCGAACCCAGCTTGTGTGTGCAGAGCTGTCCTTGCTGTTCCAAAATCCCTCTTTGTGATCCCGGTGGACCCTAGTTACCACTATAGTAGGCAACTGGCCATTTTCATTTCATGCTTTCTTCAGCGTGGTTTCTCTGGTTGCCTACCACACCGTGAAACGGAATCACGCCCCTTGACACATCTCTCATTCTTCCCCAGGCCTTTTTGACACTTTAACCCCCCACCCCCCCCCCCACTCCCCCCGGTCAGGCGGTCAGGTTGCTGTGCGCGTCAAAGTTCATGGGTGCACAGCAACTCCCCCCCCCCGGTCTGCAGGCTGCTGTGCGCCTCAGAGTTGGGATGGGAGCACAGCAACCCCTGGAGGTCGAAGGATCAATCTGAGGCCATGATTCTTCGCATCATCCAGGCTACCACTCCGCCACCAGGCTACCACTCCTCCCCCGGGAAAAAGAAGAAGAAGAAGAAGAGCCTCAACCAGGCTACCCCCCCCCCCCCAAAGAAAAAAATGAAACAAACAAACAAACAAACAAACAAACAAACAAACAAACAAACAAACAAACAAGCAAGCAAGCAAGCAAGCAAGCAAGCAAGCAAGCAAGCAAGCAAGCAAGCAAGCAAGCAAACAAACAAACAAACAAACAAACAAACACAAACAAGCAAGCAAGCAAGCAAGCAAGCAAGCAAGCAAGCAAGCAAGCAAGCAAGCAAGCAAGCAAGCAAGCAAGCAAGCTAACTAACTAACTAACTAACTAACTAACTAACAAGCAAGCAAGCAAGCAAGCAAGCAAGCAAACAAGCAAACAAACAACCAAACAAACAAACAAACACAAACAAGCAAGCAAGCAAGCAAGCAAGCAAGCAAGCAAGCAAGCAAGCAAGCAAGCAAGCAAGCAAGCAAGCAAGCAAGCTAACTAACTAACTAACTAACTAACTAACTAACAAGCAAGCAAGCAAGCAAGCAAGCAAGCAAACAAGCAAACAAACAACCAACCAACCAACCAAACAAACAACACAACACAACACAACACAACACAACACACCACAACACAACACAACACAACACAACACAACACAACACAACACAACACAACACAACACAACACAACACAACACAGCACAGCACAGCACAGCACAGCACAGCACAGCACAGCACAGCACAGCACAGCACAGCACAGCACAGCACAGCACAGCACAGCACAGCACAGCACAGCACAGCACAGCACAGCACAGCACAGCACAACACAGCACAACACAACACAACACAACACAACACAACACAACACAACACAAAACAGAACACAACACAACACAACACAACACAACACACAACATCAGATGAGCCGCCCCCCCCCCCCCTTTTCTCCAGCGGGAAGGGGAGGCTGAGTCGGCTCAGTCGACTGAGGAACGACTCCTGGACTATCCGCCACACCTGGAAGCTTCTGGACATCCAGGCCGGGTGCAACCTTTCTGACCATCGCAGATGGGCATGCGTTAACACAGGGGTTTGGATCCGTTTCCCTCCTCCCCCCCGCTTTTTTTCTTCTTTGTTTTATTTTCTCCTTTTTTTTTCTTCCTTCTTCACTTTTTTTTTTCCGGAGGTTTGTCTCAGGTGCCACGAGATCTTATGACTTCATGTCATTGTCATCTGATTGTCGTGACAAGGTCGCCGGAGGTCACGGTGGCGATGACTTGGCAATGACTCGACAATGCCTCTTGACGGAAACAACGACAGGGCCATAGTGGCAGTCAAACGTGACCTCTCACATCCTTGTCGGAGGTTTCCCATTCTCTTGCCCTCAGAACCACATCACCTCTGACAGGCCCGTGCTGATCAGGGCGTCCGCTTTCGGTTGTGTGGGAGAGTGCCGGAAGTACGTGCCTTGCCAGCTTCTCTCCTTATTCAGAGAAATCGTGAGGATCTCCAAGTAAACTAACAAAGGCCATGCGGGCCGTCCTGTTGGCCATCAAAAATTGAGAGGAACCCTTGTTGTGATCTATGTCTGAGGGCTGAGTGCCTCCGTTGACTAGCCTCGACCAGTGCGGGATGCTTTGGAATGGCACTGTCGACCGAAGCCAAGTTGGTTCAACCATCACAACTTGACTTGTTGCTCAGGTGTCGTCTAGGCTTCGCGATCGATCATGGACTCCGCCGAAACAGTCAATGCTTCGGCGAAGGAGGTCGTGACGTTCAATGTCGGTGGGACGTTGTTTCAGGTGTTGTACGAGCCGACATTAACCCTTCACCCCAGCTCGTTGCTTTGCCAGCTCGCTCAGGAGCGCCATGGCGACGAAACCATTTTTGTCGAGGCAGACCCAGAACTCTTCAAGTACCTCTTGGGCTACCTTCGCCACCGGAAGATTTTCCTCCCCCATTGTGTCTCCAAGGCGGCTGTGCTGCGCGAGGCGGCTGCGCTCGGGCTCTCCGTCAGCCCACATGACATTGAACAGCAGTTCGTACCCTTCCCACCCGCAGACTCCTCAGCACAACAGCCACTGGCTGAGGGCATCAAGTTGCTCCTAGAGCAAGCTCGGTCATTGTATGCGCAAGCATTGACGGCCCAGCAGCAGCAGGTCGGCTTGCCTGAGGACGTGGCGTTCATCTATCTTCCGGACCTCCGCAGGCATGAGCACTTTCTGAAACAGGACTGGGGCGACGCAGAAAGAGATCACGCGTGGGTGGCCTGCGGCCAATGTGGCACGTGGTATTGGGCTGACAGGTCGCCCAATCAGCGGAGTGGGAAGTACTTCGAGACACAGACGAAGTGCCCCCGAGGCCATTGAGTGCAGCTTAGCATAGCTGGGCTGTTAGCGGGCAATTTTGGAGATTAGTCATTACACATAGAAATTCAACTTGCTAGTTAGAATCTAGATTGAGGTTCTGTTTTTGAATGGGTTCTAAATGGTTCTGGCTTACTTGAAACAGATTAATTGTGCTAATGAAAAGTAGGTTCTAGAGCCGGAAAAGAACATTTTGCAGGCGTCCTGCCTTGGGCAATTCAAGAACGAGGCCTGGAGTGTAGAGCTTTTGAGGAGCTTCCTGAAGCTTGTGTGGATGCAACATCATTTGAGAATCAAAACCCGATATTAAAATGGCCGTAATCCCAGAACCATGTAAAGAACTAAGAAGGCGGATATCCGCAGCTATTTATGGCTGCGATTGTCCCTTACGAAACCTTTATGTACCCAGGTTTTGATTGTGGCTCATTTTGCAAACATTTTGATTTTCTACGTGTAAAACTTCAAATGTTACCTAACTTTAAACCTTTAGAACTCAGGAACTTAAAGTTAGAGCCATGGCCTCGGTAATAGCCCAGAGCACGAGCGATTGCGAGCCGACGAGTTTCGGGGCAACAGTTCCCTTGGCTCGTGGCGCAAGCCTCGGAATCGGCAGTTTGAGCCAGAGATGCGTCAGCGGTTTGCGCGCTTCTGGGCCCGGTGTCAGTTAAACACATCACTTGTGGGGATGCGCAAGCTAGTTGTGTCTGATCAAAACTCCTTCCTGTTACTCCAACGATGGGAAAGGACAGGTTGAAGCGCGGGGGGTCTAAGTCTGACCAAGGAATGGCTCACTACCTCCCATTTTGCCAGTTTTTAGGGTTTATCAAGTCGGAAACTGTGGTGGTTTCCCGCTTCGGGGGTGACTTGAATAGTAAACTTCTGGGGCCAGCAGACCCCTTCCAAGACCCACCAATCTACCAAGCAAGCAAGAAAGCAAGCAAGCAAGCTAGCAAGCAAGCTAGCAGGCAGGCAGGCAGGCAAGCAAGCACGAAAATCACAAAAGCCAACCTTCCAAGACCCGGTAAGAGACTCGCGGCCTCCGACCTTTTTTTCCGCGGAGGCGCTGATGGACTCCCCGGTGAAGTGGACCCCCGAGGCCTCGCTGTAGGGATTCGGATCGGGGGCGACGCCGTGGGTGGCCGTTGGTTTCCCTTGCACCAAGCAAGCCCCACAGAGCCGGCTTCCTTGTTTCCAAACCTGTACTAGCACACGCTGCACCAAGCAAGCCCCAACATTTCCACTGCAAATTCCGTGGGCCGATGCCAAGCTTCCTATGTGCAGTTGTTTGGAGTCAGATTTTGTGAAGCCGCGTGTCGGCACCTTCGGGCTTGCGATCATCGCAACGCTTGGCGGGGCGACTTTTGCCGTTCGTTTCCGCGCAGGACTATCCCTGCGTGCGCCAAAGACTGGGCAGCGCGTGCGGGTACTAATCTGCAAGACTGCATGCATGCGGCGCCGGGCGCCGGGAGCTGAGTGGCTTCGGCGTCGCGGATTTGTTGGAGTCGCGAAGGCCCTCAGTCAATATCCCTCCCTTTTTCTTGTTTTTTTTTTTTTTTTTTTTTTTTTTTCTGGGGGGGGGCAAGGGTTTCCCTGAATCAACCACAGGGTGCCAGTTCCTTTCTTCCCATTTAAATTTAGACGTTGAATTCCCAGGGGCGCTTTTAGTCGTGGAAATCCACGGCTCTGCCGGTTTCATTCAACTTACAGTCAGTGCATGGAAAGCTGGGGACATTCGCGTGGCACGAGAGGTCTGTTTCCCACCAAGCCTCTTTCGGGCTAGACTGAATGCGAGGCACATCTCTCCCTGAAAAAGGAGGGTGGCTCTGTATCCATTCAGCGAGGAGACATGCAAAAACGGTCTAGTGCCGCAAGGACAAGGGCAAAAACGCGGGAAGCAAAGTCACGCCATCTCAACCCCGAACAAAAAAACATGAGGGGCCTTTTGGTGATGTATCATTTCCCTTCTACCATCTTCTACCCATCAATGATGGACCGTGGACATTTTACGAATAAGGGGGCCCACGCGTTTCTAATTCATGCCCAGCTTTGATTTGTTCTTCGTGGGGGTTCGTCCCATAGGCCCTTTCAACACGGAACCTGGCAGCGCTGCCCTTCTCACTTCCGTTACGTGTGCAATGGTCATCAACCCACCCCTTTGCTTGGGGTTCACAGGGATGGTCATCCACTTGGCAGTAAGATTCCTTAATAAGTGCTATGATTCCCATGACTCATGGGGGGGCAGCTCCCCCCCAGCCCCCATGAATGAAGGGAGCCGTGCCCTGGGCCACAGGTCTGGGCGATCCGCCGCGGTAGCCGCTGATGGAGGTGGAGCGCTGCGCCATCTCTGGCCAATGTGTCGAGAATCCCGTCGGCGTGTCTTCTTGGGGCGCAAACCCGTGGTTTGTTCTTGTGGCTTTGTTTTCTGCATATGGCAAGGAGAAACCACACATTTGGAACACCACACCGTTTGGACCCACTTGTGCGCCACACCTTTTTGGACCCCAAAAGAGAAACCACACATTTGGGACACCACACCTTGGACCCCCCGCCCCTGGACCCCCTCAGTGCAAGAAGTGAATCTGTCCAGTGCGGAGCCTCGTTCTCGGGCGCGCTCCCCCGGGCCTTTTGAACCGGATCCGTCGGGCGGGCGAAACCAACCGCTGCGCGCGCCGAGCTCGGTTTTTGGTTGGCTCCAACGCCAGCTGGGGTTCTCAGATGAGGTTAGATGAACCCAACAAAACCTGGGTAGATGAAGGTTAGTAAAGGACGATCCCAACATTTTTGTGCCAGGTTTTGATTGTGACTCAGATGGGGGGGAAGGCTTCAAAATCCTCGTGGTGTTTTTTTCAGAAGCAGCAAGGGGGCGCCCACAGTCTTGTCTAAAAAGCTGGGGTCTGCGATCTGAACGGCAGGTTCGGCTCGGTTTTGATGAACCCCGCGGCCGCATTCCAATGAGTTAGGCCCTCAAATTTTATCTTCAATCTAAGGGTGGAAGTACATAGGTGCCCTCAAGCAACACGGGCCCATTTAGATGACAGGGGGTTGATTAGTGGTCCCTCGCTCGCAGGGTTACATGCCGGGATTCTTTTCAGCGGATGGCTGGCAATTATCACGGAATGCCAAGGTTCTGCATTGAGGCGAGAACTCTGTTTCACTTTTTGCTTAATCAGGCACATTCAGGCCGGTAAACGGGGGATTTCGGCTGTGTCAAAGTCAGTCTTATTCGCCAGTGATCCATAGCTTGCCATTTGCCACTCGTTTGAGGGGGTTTTGGGGAAGCGGTTTGCTTTGATCCACCAGGAAGCCACTTGGATGGCTCAGTTTGGTGCTTTGGGTTTGTCTACTGACCGGCCATTGCGTTCCAAGGCCCAGTCAGGAACACCCGAAAGCCTCACCAGAACATAACTGATTGTGGCAAAAAAAGAAACCCAGCCACGATTTTTCGCGCTGAACAAATCAGGACAATGACCCCCGTGATCTCGGTGCCAATCCCACAGCTTACGTCATCAGTTGTGTGGCTCACTCCCAACCACACGTTGCATTCTTGGAACACTTTTGGGTGGCTATTTGTAATCTTATCGCTAAGTTATGCCATCGAAAATATGAGAAGCCCAACATTTTTATAAGACCCTTATCTCTAAATTATGCCATCGAACATAACCGCCCAAACATTTAAACCGAACCAACTTTCATCCAGTATTCTATCGGGCTTCATTTCCTCGAGCCCGACCTTCATATGAGCCTAAGGATCTGACTCACTAGGGCTCCTGCATGGCTTAGAGGTTCACTTGAAGGTTTTGCAGGTCCCGACAGAGGATTTGATTGCAGAGTTCGGCTTTGACTCTGGCACTTCTGGCAAGTCAATTCCGCATGTGCGGGTGATTTAGATCCCTAGGATCCTCTCCGGCGGCGGTTTGGCTTGGTCCCTGCGCCCCGAAATGTGGCGTTTGTGGTGCTTGTGGCATTTGAGAGTGGAGAGGACGGATTTTGTGAGATTTCGCTTGGGGGATGTTCGTGGGGCAAATTTGAAGGGAATTGATGGGGTCCCAAGAAAAGAGTATAAGCCTCCCCAGTGGATCAAACAAATTCTTGATCACTGACGTTGTTGCATGCTGACCCAGGCTTGGCGCAAACTCGTCCACGCCTGACACCTGGGCCATGGCATTTTGCCGCTCTCACAATGAGACGCCTTTGTCGCGCCATGCAACGTATTTGCAGAACGAGGCGGAGGCGGAGGCTGCTATGTCTTTTCCGATGTTCACAGTGCGGTTGGAGGATGCGCTCCAGATGATCTGTGTGGAACCACATGAAAGGCTGAAGGAAAAGGGTCTGCTGGTGGAGTTCAAGGAGAGCTTGGGTAAGGCAGTGTTCGTCTCTCACCAGTGGGCCGAGAAGCATCATCCAGATCCTACTTTCGCGCAGTTCAGCGTTTTCCAAGATGCAATGAAGAACATCTTGTCTGGTCGCCTTGGGTGCGTAGAATTGAACTATTTCACCGAGATTGTTGCACCAGAAGCCAAGCCCCTGCGAACACAAGAGCTGCGATCTGCAAAGCTGCTTATTTGGTACGACTACTTTTCATGCCCGCAAGACTCCAAGGGCTTGGAGAGCGACCTGGCCAAAGCGATCGCGAGCATCCCCTCGTATGTTGCGACGTGCTCCTTCTTTTTTGCGCTTTGCCCCTTCCTGGAAGACCTTGCCACTGCAAGAGTCCTCAGCTTTTCTAGCTGGGCAGAGCGTGGTTGGTGTCGTTTGGAGAGGACCATTTGTGAGCTTTCTGAGGGCTCTTGGATTGTAGTCAAAGGTGTGGATCGTTTGGAGCTCGTGGTTGGGTCCCAGTCTCTTACCAGCCCAATATGCGAAGGAGAGTTTGCGGTAGCCAGTGACAAGCTCAGATTTGGACCAGTACTGTTGGCTGCCCTCAGGCGCAGAATGCAACAAGCCTTGAGCAGACATGATTTCGTGACATATCGGGTAGTGAGAAGCCTGCAGAACGTCTATTTGCGAGGTCTCGCTGCTGTGCCGGAGATGGATGATGTGCCCGGGTTTGTCCCAAGCTCCAATGAAGATTCTGCCTCAACCGTAGAGCGGTTTTTGTACCAAAATGGTTTCTGGAACCTCCGTGAAGTAGACAGTGCTGGTTTCCTGCCCCTGCACTACGCTGCTTTGGGTGGTCAGCCACAGTTGATCAAAGCCATGTTGGAACAGCGGGCAGATCCCAGCAGAGAGGGCAACCTCTGCTGACAACGCCACCAGGAGTGTCAGCACTTGGGCTTGCTCTCCTGTGTGGGCACAACGATGCTGCCAGTCTGCTGATAGAAGCAAAGGCAAATTATCATCAGCGTGGTGTGCTAGCGCCTGCCTTACATTTGGCTGCGTCCAGCAACAATGTGCAGGGGATGCGTCTTCTTTTCCAAGCCGGTTGCGATCCCAACAGCGAGTTAGACACCTTTGGTTCCCCAACAGCTTATCCTGCCTGCGATGGAAGTTCGTTGGCAGCCTTGGAGGAACTGGTTCAGCGAGGTGAACCTTTGTCCCTACTCCTCCACTTATGTGCTGTAGCCAGGACAGGCTCGGCCGCACTCGCACGCCGACTTGTTGACCTTAAGGCTGACATAGATGAACAGTGGAAGCCATTCAGGACCCTTTCAGGAAGACTTTTTGTGAGAGGCCAATCTCTTCGTTATCGATTTGGGACAGACACAGCTCTGACACGACTTTGCTATCACATCAATGGCTCAACACCTCTGATGTTGGCGCTTCTTTCTGGCAACTTTGAGATTGCCACGATACTCCTTCGTGAGGGAGCTCGTTTAGATCTCCGAAACACGCGGAGTTTCTCGGCTCTAGATTTGGCACATGGAGCCCCTGCTGCTCTCCAAGAGATCTTGAGGGGCGACTCCATCTACAACCGAATTTGAGCAAAGAAAAATTCTCCATGTATTGTTGTGTTGGCTGGGTGACCGTACTTTGGCAAAAGAAGTTTCAAGAGTTCGAAATTAGGTTATCAAGTTATTTGTTCCGCGGAACAACATATGCTTTATTTGTCTACCAAATTGGTTAATTATTTCATACATGTATTTTATATAACGTCATGCTCCAAAAAGTTTTCCACGGCGCGATTGCCTTTTTTTGTGGCTAATCGTAGTGCTCCGTAAATGTTTGTGATATCTTGCAAATTAGGGGGATTCGTTTATGGCCTAACATCTCCCGGATATCTTGATAGTTGGGTCGGATTTTTCCAAGAGGTCAGCCCCAAATATGGTCGAATCAGATTCGACCCCCGGGCGCTGCTGCCCTTTGTGACTCCCATGAGCCTTGGGTTCGCATGGCCCGTTGGAACCAGATGGTGAGATACTTGTTGCCGTTGCACCGGGCACGTTTTTTAACCCCCTCCAGTTGACACGAACAAAAAACAAAAAACAAGACACGCCTGTGGATTTCTCGGGGAGCTCGAACGTGGTTGGTCGCGGCATTTGCCCGCGGAACGATTGGGTCATGAAAAAACAAACGACGCTAGTCGCAGAACTATTGACTCCACAGCTCGCTTCGCTGGTTTTCAAGCCACTTTAGGGCTACCCCTACCAGGAGAGAATTTACAGGCCTCTCAGTTCGTTTGCACCCCATTCAATGTGGGGCTCAGGCAGAGACAAGCAAGCAGGATGCCTGTGCTACATGGCTCGCCCCTTTTCGAGCTGGGACCGGGTCAAAATCACGCAACGGTTGTCCTTTTGGTTTCCCTTTAAAATGCACAGAACAAGATACGCATGCAAGTATTTTCTGGCAAATGCCAGGTCGGATGTATGTTCAGTCGGCAGGGCACGTTTGAAAAACCATGCATCGACTCCACTGAAAAAGTACCCTCGCCCAAAAGAGGGCAGTGTCATAATTTTCACCCAGTGTGTAGGCCTCATGTTTTCTACAACCCAGTTTCCACCCAGTCAGCCGGAAGCCACGGGCGCGGGAGCCATGGACCGCTTCGTCCCTCCGCCGCGGAGGTGGGACCCTGAGGGGCGATTTAAAGGAAAAGCTTAAAGGAAAGCCAAGCGCAATTTCAGGGCACCACTGTTTCGAGAAAACGGAAGCCCCCACTATTTTGGAATCTCAAAACCGATTAAAGGGTCACTCACCAGAAGGAAATCACAAGGACAACCCAAGTTTCAGGGGATGTTTTGAAGGTACCTTTTTCAGGTTGGTTTAACAGGAGGCCAAAAGGAGAGCATTTCCAGTTTAAAAAATATAACTTGTTTTTGAGAGACCCCTTAAGTTGCGACTGAGGACAATTCAGGCGCAGTGAAGCCAAACTTTGGCTGAAGTCAGCTTCCCGGAAGTGGGGCGCCCCATTTGCCCGCAGCCAGGGCTTGAAATCCAAGTCCACACCAATCCAAGCCACGGGGTTGCTGACACCTCGTTTTCTTCCAAAAGCAAACACGGGAAAAAAGAGAGACGCGGTGAGATGAACCATTCCAAGGGGTTTTCTTCCTGGCTCCCTGAGAAACAAAGGCGACCTCCAGGTGGCCGCGTGTATTTTTGTGGCTTCCCTGGAACACCATGCGGATAAAAGGGGATTCCAAGGCATTTTTTTGCCCAGTCATCCGTTTTTTTTTTTTTTTGGTATTGCGCGCCAGTCCAAACACCAGACGTATTTGGGGTAACTTGTTTTCCCAGTCGTTTTGCTTCAGGCCGCGTGGCTTTTTCTTCTTTCCATAGTGTCATTTGAGTTGCGTGTTTTTGGTTTGGCTTCGCCCTGTCCCTTTCCTCAAGAAGCGAACACTCTGCTCCGGTGCTTCGGCCAACGTGCTTCGGCCCGGAGGACCCTGGAGCCCAGCGACGAGCTGGCGCGATGCCTGGAGAAGCCACCTGGGGAGACGGTGCTGCTGCCCAAGGCGCACGAAAATGGGGAAGCTCGAGTCAGTTGGAATTTTCGAGACAACCCAGAGGTTGCCGGACCTTAAGAGGATGTGGGTGTTCTGGGTTCTGTGTTGCTTGAGTAAGTCGGTCTGCTTTCTTTCTCTTAAAATCTGTTTTGTGGAGTGAAGGAATTCTGTAAGAAAAACGATCTGGTTGGCTGCAGAGGCCTCAAGTTGGGTTCTTACTTTCGAGAAAGCGAGGGGTCTGGGGCCTACTTCCCTTTTGCTTTGAGTTAACTCCAAAACCGTAGGTGCTGAAAGGGATCTGAAATTACCAGACACTGGGCGCTTCCCCTTTCGTTTTTTCTTCACAAGGCAGTGAGTTCGCTGAGTTTTGGGAAGCACGGGGGCCAGACGGTCAGAGTTGGAATCCTTTTTGGCCTGCTTTCAACCAAGGAAGAGAATCAGAAGAGGTGTGGTTTGAGTGCTTTGGGTTTCCTTTGTTGATATTTATCTTGTGTTTCTGGCTTAGGGTCCTGTCAGCTTTTGTTTGGATTGTTTAGTGGATGAACTTGAAGAGTAGGCAGCTCTCAAAGCAGATTGCGCAAAGCCCGCCCCCAACTCAACCACTCCATAGCTCTCTTCCTGTCGCAGAAGCTTTTCAACGTGCGACAAGATTGGGAAACTGGCTCATGATTTGGATGTTCTTGCCTTGACAAACTTTAGCTTACGCCGTTCGCAAGTGTTTAGGCCATATGGGTGTGCCTTTTAGTTGAGGGTACACTTTTTGGGTATGTTTAGAAGGGACACCAACAGGAAAACCGTCATTTGTTGGTTGGGGGGGGGGGTTAAACAAAGCGACGCCATGCCCAGATGGTTGCACATCATCCCCTCACCTGCGTCTCAACTGAGACTCGCGGGGCCTTCAGGGTCTAATCTGAATGAGAAGTCCTTTCCATCGAACGCCGTTGCGATAAAACAATTGTGGCGGTGATTCAATAGGTACGAATTGCCACAAGGGAGACATGTTGCGGGGAGGACACTTACAGGAAGCCAGAAGCGCGCATCGCTTTCAAAGAACCTTATCTTGTACCAAGGTGAACTGAGGAAATTTGGCCAAAGGTTTGATGTTCGCCAAAGGCAAGCTCCAAAAGCCCGATTTGGCTAGACTTTGTAAAAGTCCCTTCAACTCACGCAACCCAACCTCGAACCCTATCCCAGACCTTACACCCTAAAAGAGCAACCCTATCCCAAACTCCCGGAAATCTTCGGAGGCCTGCAGCCCATCCCATCCCATCCCATCCCATCCCATCCCATCCCATCCCATCCCATCCCATCCCATCCCATCCCATCCCACCCGCGCGTGGCAGTTTTCCTCCAGGCGCTCCAGATCGGTGGCCGGGAGTTCCGCTGGGCGCGGATTCTGCGGGAGTTCAAGACCAAGAGCCGCGCGCGCCTCGTGCAGCTGGCCCCTCGGATCCCATCGACGAGACATCGATGGGTTTCTCTCAGGGCAGAAGTATGTTGCGCCGTTGGGCGCAAGGAATGGGTGGGATACTTCAATCCCGAATGTTTGTCGTAGAATAGTAAGACCAATCATGTACCCTCCCCAACATGGAGCATGACAGGGGGGGGTCCTGGAAGACCCTTTTCCTTTAAAGGGACCCCTGTCAGGTTCCATGTCAGTTGGTGGTAGGGTTGTCATAATGGCCACAGGGTTGATTTCCATGTCCATTATCCATATCTCCCCCGTTCAGCGGTTCCTCTTGGAGTGCTGTTTTGGCGGGAGCGCTTTGGTCTTCAGAATTTGAACTTCCGGGATTTCCAAAAGGAAGTTAAAAGGAAACCCGACTTCCCTCCTCCCCTTTTGAGGGGAAGGACTCCAATCGGGATGTGGAGGCCAGAGACCTTACCATCCAACTGCCACACAATGGGGTAATTGCGTGTTTGGCGACCAGATCTTGCGAATTTTCGAGGGAAGAGTCCAAGGGATGTTTTCATGGAAATGTGGGACATGATATTGTTGTTTCTACACTTTGGAATGACAAACACAGCGCAAATTCCGTGCATCGAAGCCAGCGAAATGGTCGTTTCCGTGTTGTCAGTTAGGGCTTCCTCTATATTGCCGACCCCGGATGAGTAACCCTCTTGTTGGTTTTCGAATTTACTTTCCAAAGGAAACCGTGGATGACTCAGCAGGGGGTGACTTTTCTGCAGGGTCGCCATCAAACGAAGCAACGGCTTGAACCAACATCGACTTGAACGCATTGCACCACCCCAGGAGCCTGGCAGCGTTCTCTTCATCGTGAAATTCGAGAACCTTTTTCAGGACGCTTTTATATTTGTGCGCTTGCCGCTTGCTGCTTCGAGTTTACGGTACACGTGTGTCCCTAAAAACCGGGTAGGGGCCCCCGTCTGCTAAGGTTAAGGACAAGGACGCCGTTCCAACCTTGTGAACCTGTCTGGTTTTAGCCGCAATTTTAGCGAGGTTTCCTTGGCCGAATGGGCATTCAAACCATGTGTTGAACGGTGGGATGGATTTGACCCCATCGGTGACCTTTCATGCGTGGTTGCCCTTGTGGGTGGTTTCCATTTGAGCCGCAATCAAAATGTTACTAAGGGACAGTCCCAACCACAAAACATGGTGCCTCTTTGCATGGTTATTGGGTTCACCATTTTGGTACCGATCGGTTTTGATGACTCACGAGGCAGTCGAATCCTGGCCCCCCAAAACCATGGTGTATAATATGCCCATGGTTGACCTGAGCAAGCGATTCTTTCGAATCCTGGCCACCCAAAAATCTAGAAAAAGGTTTGGATGTGCTGAAGGATGACCAAAAAAGGCCCAGAAGGGGGAAGAACAGGTGAAATCTACATTAAAAAACAGCGCACATCCAACTTTGGGCATTGGGTGGGAACAATCCCCCCCCCCCCCAAGCGCGGAAGCTTCTCGCGCGGTTTCGCGGTTCCGCGAGGAGTTCGCCGTGATGGCGGCGCTGAAGCAGCTGAACCGCTGCTGGCAGAAGACGCGGCTCTGCATCGGCCAGGCGGGGGTCTGGGCCGGGCGGCGGATTTTGTCGGCTTCGCATGTGTTGGCAGTCCTGAAAAACCCGGCCCAAGACAAGAACGACATGGCTGCGGGTCAACACAAATGGTACCATTTTGGAGTAATCCCAATTGAACAAAACCGCAAAAAGAAGCAACGCAAAGCAACCATGCAACAACCCAATGATTAGAGTGGCTGAGGGATCAAAGTGGCTGAGGGGGTCCCGGTGGATTCTCTGTTGGCAAAGCACCGTGTAGCTCGAGAAAACTCTGAGGAGGTCACCATGGAATTCCAAAAGCCCTTTGGAATTCAATCAGAAATGAAACACCCTGAAAGAAGCAGATCAGTATGGAGCCCTTTGGATCGAGGCTTGAACAAAACACTTGGGGGCCACTTTTCCTTTTGAGTTTTGCTCTTGAACGTCATATCGCTGTTTTTTTGTTTACGCACTGTGTTCAACATGGTAACCTTTTGGAGTACATCATGAATGATTGTTCTTTTCTTTTTTTTAAAACACACATATGTCAACGTGTTTAGACACCCCATGTTGGATGATTGCAACAGTATAACAAACACAATCGCGGCTTGCCTCGGCGGCAAGCTCTTTCGGCGCGGTGCTCTTCCCACCGGCACTTTCTACTGCTTGCTGTGTCTCTCTTGGGTTCTCAATGCAAATTCAAGTCTAGGTTGTGTCAAGATCCCCTCCCTCCAGTGGAAGCTCATCGGAAGGTGTTGGAATACGACTTTCCTTGGGAACCTCCCCGTCCACTTCCATTGTTGGAAAGAGTGTAACCACAACATGACATCACATAAACCCCCGCTTTTATACACAATCTTGTGAACTATTTGTGATTGGATGCATCTGCAGAGTTCGCAGATGCATCCAATCACAAATCCCCCCACCCCACCCCCCGCCAACGGGTTTTCCCTCAAACTTTTTACAGCCGGTTGACAAGGTGAGACGTGGACGTCTCGCCTTGCGGTGGGTCAGTTTTTTCTGGAGCCTGGGAGACCTGAGCTTGCTGGTTGGAGTTGGGATTCGTTCCAAGCAACTTGTAGATCAGTACCAGTCTCTGCCTGCACCTGCGTTTCACGGAAAAGTCCAGTATGGTTATATTTGCGGCAAGCCTATGTTCTTCACCAAAAACCAGTGTGTTTTGTTGATGCTTGTTTTGTCTGTGCAACACCAATTCAAGACCTGTGGTACAACACCAACTTCCCCTGTGGCTTGGATGCCTGAAATTTTGTTTTGGGGGAAGTGCCTTGCAGGAGTTGGTGCAAGCCACGACCTTTGGGATCTTCCCCTTGGGCCAGCGCTTGGGCCTAGTGGAGGCGGGACTGGAATCGGACGCCGTTTGAATTTCCTCCCTTGAAAAAAAATACAAAGTCAAAAACAAAACGAAAACAACACACACACACAAACAAGAGGAGAGAGAGAGAGAGAGAGAGCACCTGTCAAGAGTTTCTCTGAATCCAGCGGAACTGTTTGCAATGCTTTCAAACAAAAGCATGGCGGGCGTGGGTTCAACAAGGGGGAAGCTAATTTGGGTAGGTCCAAGCGCCTTTCATTCATGGGGGTTTGTTTCGTAGTATAATGAGGTAATACGCTGTTATGGCCAATTTGGCGGAACCAACAATGCATGGGCAAAACTGGTGAAAGAGGCGCTGATGAATTGAGAGTGAGGGTCAGGGCATATTTGGTTCGAGATGCTGACCTGGTCGACTTCTGGACAATTTGACTGCCTGAGCCTCACCTGGGGACGCTCAGACAATTGTAAACGCTTCGCGGCCAGTCCGCTTTTGGCTGGTTTTGAGGTATATACTGTGCTTTAGTTTGCCTTGAAGTGTTGTGTATTAGAGTGAGTGAGTCAGCGCCGAAGTGCGTGAGCTGGTTTCCAAGGTAGAGGGTGGGGCGTGTTTCCACGTGGCTTCAAGGGCCAGGCAGAGAGCTACAGAATGGGATTGGGCCAAGCGAAGGTGCAAATTGCTTAGGGAATTTGACTGGTCTCCGGGGGGAATTTTGTCGGTTACTGGGTTTGACCGGAGGACCTTTTTAAAGTGGATTTGACAGGTGTTCAGGGGGATTTGATTGGCTTTTGGAGGGGAATTTGACCGGTTTTGAGGCGATTTGCCTGGTTGGACCGGCTTTGAGAGGGGGAATTTGACCGGTTTCAAGTTGACCGGTTTCTAGGGGGAGAAGATCGGTTCTAGGGGGAAATTTGACATGTTTCTTCAGTTTTTCGGGGCTTGATCAGAGTTGGGCTGGTTTTGGGGGCAATTTGATTGACCGGTTTCAGGGGGCGGAGATCCCCTCTCCGAAGGGATCTGACCGCTTTTGGGTTGAATTGGGGATGGAACCCGCGCCCAGAATGCATGTCTTTTGCAGACCTTTCTTTTCGGCGAGCTGGGCTCAGAGGGGTGTCCCAATTTGTTGGGGCCTTTCTCAACCACTGCTTGCTTGGTTTTTGTGTTGAGTTGAGTTGCGGATTTCGGGGTGCCCACCCCATTTGCAGCCCACTGACAAAAACCAGAACCATGCAACTCACCCGAAACCTGGATTCGCATGGCAAAAAGAACCGCCGCTCTTGTTTTGGAGTTGATTTTGAAGTGAAGCCTCTCCAACCACCGGATGGCTTTGAGCCGCGGTTGTCGGGAAAAGATCCACCCCAACTCCAAGCAAGGGTGAGGCCCGCCTGAAACCATCGCCTGAAACCTCCAATCAGAAAGTTGAACAAGTTGCTCAAGACCCCACACTGCTCCAGACCCCCACCTTGCGGTTGATTATCCAACCACTTCTGTGATACTTTTGGGAATCTCCCCCCCCCTGTTTTTTTTTTTTTTTGGAGGGGGGGTGGGGGTAGTCTTTGGGGTTAGGCCCTTCTTGCTACGTCTCACAAAGGTGGATTTTCCATTTCCCACAGCCCTTAGCAACTTGGCACCATTCAAAAATCCGCCCCCCCTTACATTGCTCAAGACCCCACCGCCCACCTTCCGGTAGTTGATGTTGAAGTGAAACCTCTCCAACCACCGGATGATTTTGAACCATGGTTCCTTGGAATTGGTCCCAACTGCGAGTAACGCTGAGTTTTTCTCCACAACATCGCCTGAAAAGCCTCTCCAGGCAAAAAGCGAAAGACGTTGGCACCACTCGCAGCATGCAAAGCCTTCACCGGGATCGGAGGTGGTCTCCGAGAGCTGCACCTTGCGCGAGCTGGCGCTGGGCGGCCACTTCGGGGACCGCCAGTTCCGGGTGCTCCGGGCGCTCCACGAGGAGCGAAGCGGATGGCCGGAGACCCGAAAACTTCTCCTGGTTCACCAGGGGGTTCTTTACTCCCTGTGTTTTATGGGCTTTAAAAGTTGCTTTTTGGGTTTGCGCTGCCCGCGCCAGTATCAACCGGATCCTTTTGGTTGGCATTGAAGTGCAGTGTTTCAGTTTGTCCTGAAGCGCCGTGTGAGGCGGCGCCGAACTGACAACCGCCATAGGTCAAGAGGTTGGGGCCGGGTGAAGTTTCAAGGGCAACGGGCTGCAAGGGTGGGCTGTGGCTCTCGACACTCCTTGGCCCAAGGGCTGAGTGGCTGGGTGGCTGGGGCCGGGCTGTCTGGAGGCTACCAAGAGGGGAGCCACAGACATCGTGCCAAGACAAGGTGTGGTATTTTTGGCCTGGGTTTTTGAAAAGGAAAGCATGTTTGCGACTTTTTTTTGCCTTTTTGCCAGCAACGAGTTGTCACTTTTAAAACCCGAAGGCCCAAAGTGAAGGGATGGACGACTCTTTTTGGGTTGCGGGCCGTGTAAACTGCAGTGGCCCTGGGGGTAGGTAGAACCGGACAAAGCAAATCCTGATTTCAAGCTACCTAAGATGATATAATTCTTGTTTAGGATGGAGCTAGAATGTAGTCATCACAGGCCTTGTCTCCGCAAGGGCGTTTCCAAACTGGTGCTTGAGAGATGTTGCCTAGAATTGAGCAATGCCCTGTCAAGAAGATGATCATTTTGGGCGACCGTGGCTGATTAAGCCGCCCCCTGTACGGAGGATCGGAACGAGGAAAGACAGAGCTCCCGAACATTTACTTGTGTTGGCCATTTGAAATACAACTTTTCCACCAGAGCAGAGAACCTAATCTTCAAGGTGGACAATATGAGAACCCTTGAAGGTCTCTGATTTGGGGCAATTTCTATGCTGCATGTCTGTTTGTCCATATGGTAGTTGCAGAGTCAGACAGGCGCCATCTCGAAGATGCCTTTGACCCCCACCAAACAGAAGCTCAATGGAAGTGGACCACCCAAAATTCGGACATGTGAGGAGCCTGTCAGAAGTCAGCAGAAAGCGCTTATGCACAGAAAAGGGGGAATGGTTGAGTCCAGTCCAAACATCACTGCGAAAAGCCACGTGGTATTGGGTTTGTTGTCTTCCTGCAAGGTACCCACGGCGGCTTACGGACCCTTTGGCAGCGCTCATTGTGTCTCCTGTCCTCTGATGATTACCCCGAAGCCATTGTTGAAGTCAGGACGCCCTATCTGAATGTGGACATTCTTCCAAGGGCCCCAACCGAGGAATGGCTAAGGCGTGTTTGTCCTCACCACTAACATGAACATGAGGCCCAACCTTGGGCGGGTTCCTACTAACATAGAACGTAAGTGTCGTGCCCTCCTTTTCACGTGGAAGGTGTGTCTTGCTTGGACCATTTTCCTGCGACCTTGTGCAACATTTGGAAGCCATTTGGGTAGGACCCCCGCAAGCTGGAACGCCTGGCCGCCAGCGTGTGTGCTTACCTGGCCTCCAGCTATGCCCTAGGCGACTCGGACTTCAGAAACGTCACTTGAGGTCAACAGGGTTATCCTTGTCAGTGGATCCAGTTACCTGGTTTTCTGGCTAACCAAGGGAACCCTTTCCTAGCCAAAAGGATGGCGAAGGGTTACCTACTATACTAAAAAAGGGATCCACTGGGCTTAAGGAGGACATGCAATTTCGAATGCCACCTCGAAGCCAGCTGGTATTTGGGTGATTTCTTCGAAGCCGCCTGCTTTGGATTCGGATCCTCGAATTGAATCAGATGGCATTTGGTCGAGTGAGCCTTCACTGGGCCCTGGTATCCTTCCTGGGCGCGGATTTCGACTGGGGAGTATCCACTTGCCTCAGGTTGGACAAATTTATTTTCCAGATTTAGATTCTCGTGGCAGGGTCCCCTTGTGCACACCTGCGGGGTTGTGGGATGTACCAACCCTCGGCTTGCAACATCTTCTGGACACTTCCCGAACTTCGGAACCCCTCCCCCCCCCACAAGTCTTTCCTTGTGCCCTCCCTTGTAGAGGTCTTTTTGGTCCTCCCTAAGCCTTCAACGAGAGAGACGGATGGTCCAGGCATCCGGGACGGCCACGACGACAACCTCATGCTGCGCCGGGACGGGCGCCTCTTCCGCGTGGACTTCGGCTTCGCCTTCGGGCGAACCCCGGAGATCGAGACCCGGCCGGAGCCGTGGGCGTTTTGTGACCCGAAGGTGGAGCAGGTGACTCCCGTTTTTTTTTTTTTTTACCGGGTTTCTGGGGCGAGGCCCACGGTTTGATTGACTAGGTGTTTCGGTAGTGCCAACTTCTACCGTTTTTTGGGGGAGGGTTCCCCTACTAAAATAGACTGCAGAAAGTTGGCAAAGGAGGGAGAAGGTTGGCCAAAAGGTTGGCCAGAGTGAAGGGTTCTAGAACCAAGCGTCGATAGGTGAAATGGGCGCTGCTCACGTGTACACGACTTGCAGGGGCCAGCACCCAGGAGACTCAAGCAAGAAGCTGGGGCCGCTCAGTTTCACAAAGCGAAAGTACTTGGCGTCGCCCAAAGTAGCACCGGCCCAATATTTTGTCAAAGTTATCCCACCAGTTCTAGATTGAAGGGAAATAAGCCCAGTTTCTGACTCTTTGATAGTCCTCCCGCCTCCAGAAACAATCAAAACAGTGATCCCAGACAGGTGCTCTGCTGAGTTTGATGCTCCAAGGCACCTGGCTCCATCAATCTATCTACTGCAAGTATCAGGTGGTCTGAACACCCGCCAGCTGGCACTCGGTCCAAGACAAAATTAATCTGGGTTAAATCCTGGCATCCCTTTCACTCCAAGCAAGCAAAAGGGTGCCGGCTCAATGAGAGAGACATATGTGAATGGGTTGGAGCAAAGAACGGCCCGGACACAGCACAATGGAGCCCCCTCTTTTGCGCGGTGTCCTTTCGGCTTCCCCCAAAAAGCAAAAGCAAGCCACCAAAAAAGGGTACCAAGCCCCCAAAGCTTCCCTTTTAAAGGCCACCCAACGCCTGACGGCCGACGGCCGAGTGGCGCCTCCCAAGACATTGACGCGAATCTTCGCCCCGAGGACGCGCCGGGGATCTTCGTGCCCAACTCCGTGGCGGTAGCCCTGGGGGATCGCTGGCCCCAGGCCGCGGGGGCGGGCCCCGCGGGTCGCAGGGCGCTGAGAAGCGAGACATGCGGCATCAGGGTTTTCGAGCCATGTCTCCACCTCTAAAAGTGGAGGGCGCGGTCTTATTTTTAGGAAAAGCCAGCTTCCCTTGGTATTTTCATGTTTTTCAATGATTTCAGTTATGGACTCATTGTCTTCCTGTCGTCGGCCATTTCCGCCGTTTTCCGGGCGCCAGGTGGTGGCGGGCTGCAAGCGCGCCATCCGGGACCTGGGCCCCCCCGAGCGCCCGCCGGCCTGGGACGTGCTGCTGAAGGTGTCGGGAGGGGACCCAAAAGCTGTGGCGAGGGGCCGCAGTTGAAATATGTTGGTTATTGTTTCTTTTGGGGGGGATCGTTTTCTTCTTTATTATTTTATTTTTATTGTATATATTTTTTTTGGGGGGGGGTTGCCTTCTTCAGGGGTGAGGTGTTTCAGAATAAAGATATGGGTGCGGCTCAAAGTAAAACAAATGAGCTGGAGGTGCGCAGGTGTTGGTCTTTGTTGCCGTCCAAGGGGCCCAGAAATGGGTACCGCTGTTTTGAGCCACAGCCTATGCACTACAAAAGGGGTACACTCAAGTTAAAAACGAGCAATGTGTCGAAAAGTTCGAGGGTGCCGTTTGTGGTGCTTTGAAGGGAAACCTAAGGGACACCACCTATGTGGGAAGTTCCCGTCTCTAGACTGGAGACGGACGCTGCTCACGTTTTGTGTTTTGTCTCTTCCATGTGTTGTTGTTTGTTGTTTGTTCCCTTTGAATGCTTTTACCCTTCCACCAAATCCCTTCTGAAAGACGAAAGCTTTCCTTGTAAGGGACGTGCATATTCCTGTTGGGAGGGTATGCCATTTTTTGTTTCTTTTCTTGTCACCTTTCATTTTGCTGTTCTAAGGGATCCTTCTCTCGACAACACAAGAATCATGGCTTTGCATACGAGATCGAGGGCAAAACTCCAGAATGGCTGCTCCTTTTCCCATTGGAACTCGCCCAAACCCATCATACTTAGAGGACTTCTGGCCTGGATGCCCTTTTTTGTGCGGTGGATTCTCCTGTTGTTTTTGGTGAAATTCCCCGTTTGGTGGATGTCTCTTTTTGGTGCTCCCGTTGTGGGGCTCGGATGCCACTCGGAGGTGCCGGAGCTGAAGCAACTGCTGCCGGAGGCGCTGCGTTAGGTAGGGAATGTGGTTGCATGAACCCAGGCGTTGGTTTCCGAAAAAAGGAAGCCACCAGTTGGACTTTTTTTTTTTTTTTTTTTTTTTTTTTTTTCTCAGGGGTCATTCCATAAATCATTCCCTGAGCACCAGCAAGTTAAAGGACCCAGGGGCCCCAAGTAAGGGCCAACATTGGCGTCCCAGAACGGAAGAGCTTCACAGATGATTTCTGCCTTTCTGGGTTCCATGCAAATTTGGTCAACCCAACGTTCTTTGGGCCCCTAGAGAACTTGTTCCCATGGGAGCCCCAAGGAACACGTTCCGCGCCTCCTCCCTCCAATAGCGGTTCCCAGAAGGCCCAAGGGGACCTAGGCCAACCCCCCCAAAATCGGGTTGGGGGTGGACTGTGCAAGGATACTTCGAATCCTCTGACTCTGAAGCTGCAGGAGGTGATTTCTTGAGTGGACCCTGTAAAATACAGCAAGATCAGATGCCAACTTATGGCCAAATCAGATGCCAACTTGCTGATCTTGGGGTCTTTGGTGGTTTTTTGGTTTCGTGGGGTCTTGAGGGAGTCGTTTGGTTGAGACCCCAAAGTTGCAGCTCCAATTACCACCAAAATCACGCAGCTCTTCTCAGCTGGAAACCGCGCAGAAACAGGTCCAAGCGCATCCATTCCCAGACCGATCAAAAACCAGCCGGGACTGAGCGAGGCGTTTTGGCACAGTGAGGCGAAAGAGTGGGATCGTGAGGTGCACGAGTACACGAACTCTTTGAGCTTCAGCTCTTTCGACTACCAAGCCTGGGGCCCAGATGTCTCGTTTTTTTTTCTTTTTTTTCTCCAAATGAGCGTCCCAAAACCAAGCCGATTTTCCGTTGGTCACCTAGTAGGTTCGGTGGTTTCATGGGGGTTTATAGGATAAGGGCTTTCCTTTCGGTTTGAACCAATCTGCAAAAATAGAGCACTCATCTATCTGTGCCGTAGCCAAAAGACCCATTTGCTTGGCCCAGTTTTTCTGCGAGACGGAATCCCATCTGTTGTTTCACAGGACCGACGCAGCATGTGGGATGATGCTGGGAATGCTGGGAATGCTGGGCCTACAGAAGCTGAACCTGCAGGCGATGCTGGTGATGCTGGCGATGCGGCAACCTTTTTGGATGCTTTTGCGGGTTCCCTTCAAAACAATGCAATGCAGGGAAGTGGCTGGCCCAGCGTGGTTTAAAAAAAAACATTTGGGTTTTTTCGAAAAGGACTCGGCGAATAGGCCTTGTTTTCCTTTCGGTTCCTCCCCGAAAGTGGGGCCAACTCAGAGAAATCATTCGCCGGACGGATGCCCATCCAAACTTGTCAGGAACTCAGAAAAGAGTTTGCCGGATGAGTGCCCCTCCCAACTTTGCCATCCTGTTGCCATGCGCTCAGGAGCTCAAAAAACCATTCGCCGGAGGGATGCCTCCATTTGCCATGCGCTCAGGTGGAGCATGCCACGGATTGGACGCTGCAGCGCGCAGCCAAGAACACCCTCAGGGAGGCGATCCGCTACGTCACCGCGGAGCAGGAGGCCGCGCTCAGTTGTGTCCGTGAGATCCAGCTGGGTGGTTTGTGTGAAAACGCTAACCTTTAGCGACCTTCATATTTTCATGGTTGGAAGTTACGCCGCTTTCCGGAAAGCATCCACAAAGAGTTCCAGAACCATTCATTTCGACCACGTATGTTTTCAGCTGCTGCTGCTGTCTCTCTCTCTCTCTCTCTCTCTCTCTCTCTCTCTCTCTCTCTCTCTCATTTGTTTCTTTCTCTCTCTTTTTTCTTTTTCTCAAACTCCCGCTGATATCGCCGATCTCCCGCGAGTTGGTAGGTGGAGGCCGCAGAGGCCTGGTGGCTGGACCCCTTCGGGTTCCTCAGCAGCCCGGTGGCCGCCGGCCACCCAGCCAGCCAGACCCCGCACTTCCCCAGGCGCGGCCGTTGGAATTTAGTGGCGAGGTCATCAGACATGGATTTGCGGACTTCTCCTTTTGCGCTTCAAACAAGTGGAAGAAGAAAATATTATTTCGGTGTTTGTATAAGGGTGTTTACCAAAACTTGGGTGTTTCCGGATGGCGGAACCATCATCGGCTGTACATCAAATTCCCGCTGACCTTAGGCTCCAGACCACACTTCTGACCCTAAGGTGGAGTGGGTTGAGGTAGAGGCAACGGGGAAGGATTCGGCCCCTGGACAACTGAAGCTATTCTTGAGATCTAGGGTAGACTGAACATGCAGAATCTGAACATGTGATCTTCGGTGTCCCAGATTTGGGCCAAGTTCTGAACCATGCAAGATTGACCCGCTCTAAGTGACGCCCAACTCAAATTGGGATTTGATTTCAGGAACACGGATCTCAAAGCTGAAAGTGTTTCTTTCGTTTCTGGGGTGAACCCCCATTCAACACCATCCAGAAGCTGGATCTGTTTTCTCGGTATCTTTTAGAACCACCCAGAAGTGCCCAGCTTGTTGTGTCTTCCCTTGGGTTTCTCATGGCTGTTCCACCAAAAACCCACCTCAAAAAACAGGTTTTCCTCTTAGGTGTCCCACCAAAACCCCACCAAAAAAGAGAAATCCCCGATTCCCCTGGCAATTTCTCCCAAAAACCCACCCGTGGCTCGCCCTTGCATCTTCCCCGTCAAAACCACGGCCAACGTGGACCACGGCCCGCGTCGCGCCGACGTCATCCGCCATGGCGCTGCGCGGCGCTTGCCTCAGCTGCAGCGACGGGGCCGAGTTTGCGAAGACCTGCCTCGAGCCTTGGATTCTGGTTGCATATATATAGATATACATATATATATATATACAGATAGATATAGATACATACATTAATATATATATATATATATATACATATCGATATATATATATATACATTAACACATATATATATATATATATACATAGATATAGATATAGACATTAGTACACAAATATACATATATATATATATATATATATATATATAAATGTATATGATATAAACATGCGCTATCCTATACAGGAACAGGTTGATGTAAAATTCGCTATCCCACATGTCCAAGGATAGCCCTCTTGTTACAAGAGATAGCAAACCAATTTCTGTTGCAGAGATGGCACATCTTTCTCCTTGATGTATAAACAGAGGGCCGCCATCTCTTGCAAGGCCAATGACAGTCAAGGAGATCCAAATGGAACAGAAAGCCCCTTGCTTGAAGAAGTCCAGAAGCAGGAACATCCTGCCCTATGGCAAGCTTACCGAGCGAGTGAGAATTCATGAAGGTCCTAAAAGGTTTGTCTTGACAGGGACGAAGTGGGCCGGTGCCTCACTGCCCCAGTGAAAGGGCTTGCTAGCCCATGTCATCAAAGACAATCCGATCTACCTTAGGAAGATCAGACACATTTGCATCAAGGGGCTGATCAAGAGAAACAGGCGCATTACGCGCCATCTCAAGTGTACCTGATGCGTGCACTGCATTGGTTTGCGTTGGTTGGGAAAGAGAGGTTTTCCCCCGGATTCGGCGACGAGCACCACCTATTACCTGGGCAGGCAAAGATGGCACACGAACTTGTCCACTAGGTTGCACATTCGGAAAGCTGGAAGAAACACCTGCACTTGCAGCACTGCTCGGTTCGGCTGTCGAGGCAGGGGCTTCGACACGGTTTGCGCTGCTATCCTGCAAGTGAAAACTAGCAAGAATTGCAAACGCTCTGCGGCGATCCTGCAACAGCATTTGCACTGAAATGGATCTGTCGGGGGTGCGTTCCCGGTCACATCTACCTCTGCATGGTCTGTGGCAAAGGTTGTGCCGATTGTTCCAAGGCCAAGTCTTTTGACACTTAAGACACCTGACAATTCCATCCGTCGGATGCGTGTTGCAATTCGAAGCAAGGTCATGCCCATTGGATCTATTGTGTAAAACAAGCAAAAGTTCGGCAAGGCGGGCTGGATTATGCTTGAAAGCAGGAGCATTAAGCCATTCCTCTCGGGGAAGGTTAGCTTGGGTGCAATGCCTGTATCTAATCTTCAACCGGCGATGTTTGCTTTCTCTGACAAACACTCCACACTTGCGACAAAAGACGCCTCCTCCAACCGCAGAAGATATTGCATGTCCTCCCGCTTGCGGCAGGGTTGTTGCCGACAGCATCGTCAGGCCCCTCTCCCTGCGGTGGCGCAGGGGGAATATTGCTTGAAGGCTCGTCAGCATACAAGTACTTGCGGATGGAAGCCTGCCAAATGTCCACCAAGACCGTGTGAATTAGGACAATGTGGGTGGCTAAGGCGGCATCAGCCTGTGTGAGAATGCCTGCGTACTTGAAACACTTTTTCGCCCTGTTGATCCTGGGAGCAAGATTGACAAGTCTTTCACGCAGGTGGCTATAGTGACTGCATGCCCAAGAAATATGTTCAACAGTGCACTGTCCGCCCACAGCACAGGAGCATTCTGTCTGCTGATTAAACTTATGGCGCGTCACAACATCTTGAGTAAACAACCCTCCGGTCAGGAGGAGCCGCATTACCGACGCCCTCATACGGGCAGTTTCCTGGTCTTGACTGACGGGCTGGTCAGGAGGACTGCGCCCTTGGACCTCAAGTTGTTTCAAGTACTGAAGTGTGGCGTCACGTAAAAGATTTTGCTGCACGCCCTGGAAATTTGGCCTATTACGCGCGAGTTGTTCGAACTGCTTCTGACGCCACTGCTCACGGACAGTGTGCAACCAACGCTCTACATTGAGTTGTTGCCGGGATAGCAGCGGAGTTACCAGGCCAGCAAATTCTGGCATTGCGTTGACCTGCCGAAGACGAGTGACCGGCCCGTCGGAGCACGGCGGAGCGTTTGCGGAGAAAGCGGCAACGACAGCGTCTCTTCTCTGCGTTAGACGCAAGGCGCGTTCAAACTGAACAAGGCCGTCCACGACACGGCTGAAGTGTGGATTAAGGCTGGGCGACGCCGCAAGGGCGAAGTAAGCGACAGGGCTTGCCACATACTGGTCCCGACGTAAGAGGCATCTCATGATCCCTGCACGTAGCCCGTTCAAAGTGTCGAGGTGGGTTTTCGTATTACACATGCTATGCGTGCCACATCCCCAAGTAAACTGGGAACGTGTGCGCAGGAGGGCGTTGCATCTGTCTTGCCAAGAGATTGGCAAGTGGCGAGATCTTTGAATGGTGCGCGACCATTTGTTCAGTCTCTGCAGTTCAAGCTGGGTGGCACTGGCGTGGCCATGCCGGACTGCAAAGGATCCCCCCACGAGGCGAAACTCAGGTAGGTGAGCAAAAGTGTTACAAATGGCATTTTCCAAGTGCGGTGAGCCGAAGGTGAAAGTCTTCTCTTTGTTTAACTTCATGAAGGTCCTAAAACAATGTTTCCTCCATTTCGCGTTTGGCACCTCCAAAAGTGGCGATCGTTCAATGGAAACCACAAGTAAATTGATCAACCTTTGATTCGGCAAAATCCAGTGACGCCTGCAACATTTCATGCAGTGATTGTAACATTGAACGGATCCAGGTGAGCCCTTATTTGGCCCTAGTGGCTCGGGACCCATGATCTTTTGGTGGGAGTTTTTCTGGACAATTTTGAGGCTCAATCGGTGAGGATCGTTTGGGTCCTTGGACGAATGCTCGGTTGCCCTTTGCGAAGTAGGTGTGTGTTTTGAGGAGAAAGGCACACCCGTTTTGGGGGTAAAAGGAGTCTTCCGAGCGAAAAAACGATCGAAGGCCTAAAATAGGGGGATCAATTTCTTATTTCAGGTTCTGAAAGTATTGTAAAATCACACTTGCCAAACAGGTCCTCAGTGGTTGTCGGAGTCTTTTGAGGCTTTGCGAGTCAAGGGCACTTGGTGTGCCCTATTTCCTCATAGCAACTGACAATATGATTGGTACACTGATTTGGGGAGGGCGTGGGGCCCGCCCGCATTTCCCACAAACGCCAGGGGACGACATTCCCTTTTTCGTGGGGAAGCGGTTTTTTTTGGAGCAAAGGGGCCTTTGCCAAGACCAAGAGCTCCCTTTCCGGCCAACAGCAGTGCAGTTCAGAGTCTTCTGCCTTGAGCTTGCGGAAATCTTCCTGCAGGGTTTTTCGTCGGGCCTCACTTTCGCCATCTTTCGCCCAGGTAAGGCGAGCTCGTTTTTTTGTTTTTTCCCCATATGGGGCTCGGGCCTTTCTTTTTTTCCAACTTGCCTGGAAGATCCCTAGGGCCATGCGCAAAGCGCCAAGAGGGAAGAGATCCCGTTTTCCGGTTTCGACCAAAACCCCCAAGCAAGTCAAGACCGTTTGCCAAGCCAGGCTCGATCAATTCCCTAACCAGTTGCTATGCTCAAAGGTTCCCTGACCAAAGGAACAGCCGCGTTGTAAGCTACAAGTCTTCCTCCTTTCTGTCTATTTCCCTATTGTGTTTCTTTGGTCAAAGGGTTGAGGTCCCGCTCTTGTCCATCCTTCTTTTCCAAAACCGGTCTGTAGCGGCAACAACGGGTGATCGCTGAACTCAACCCTGTGAGGTGAGTTTGCAGGGAAACAATAGAACACAGAGCTTCGTCACAAACTTTGGCCATTGGAGCAGGTGTAAGGCTATTGCTCTATTTTTTTAGGCGGTCTGTCTTTTGTTGGTAGCTGTTTTGGGGCGGTTGAAGAGGAAAGGCTTTGCTGGGGATCTGCCAGCAAAGCGTCTGCGCAGGCTGCACAAGACGCAAGCTGCAAAACGCAGCAGAGCAGCATATGTGCCCCAACATGGACAATGCCTGCCAGACGTGGAAAGTGTCGCGGCTCATAGTCTTGCCGTTTTCAACCTTTGAGGCGGACAGGATCTGTATCATGTGGACTTGTCCCGTGCTCAGGCGGTGCGGGAGAAGGTTGCGAAGCTTGCAGTGGAGACAAAGCAAGCAGTTGTGGCCAACGAGTGCGGCGTTGTACATTGTCCTTCAAGGTGGTGCCAAGCAAGATGACCCAATTCTTCATGGAGGCGTGTGAGCTGGCTGAGACTCACAGAGCGCAACCTTGCGCCGTAAGGTGTTTGATGATTTTGCGCACGTGTGGCGACCCGCGGCGGCACGCAGAAGCACCTGCCGGCCAAGAAGGCCGCGAAGGCGAAAGCGTCGGAGCCTTCGTCTGATACCCAAGCAAGAGCGAGACAACAGTTTTGTGTTGTTGCAGCGCGTGCGCAGGTCTGCACGGAGAGCAAGCGCCTCCAGTCGCGCAGGACACCCAACAAAAAGGGGCAAGAAAAAGTCCGGACAGACCAGAAGCCACTGAACCAAAGCCCCTCGGCCCCCAGCCGGCGAGCTTGTCAAGCCAGCGTGGGGGGCGGGCGCTGAAAAGCAACCTCAAAGATGTTTGGCATGGATGGTGCCTTCCCAATCACACTTGAACGAGCTGCAGCTGCCTGGACGTCGCAAGGGATCAGTCCAAGCTGCGCGCTTGCCGTGAGTTCTTGCTGTGTGAGAAGTGCACCATGTGCTTTATGTCAAGGTCAAAAAGGTTGGCGGTGTTGCAGCATTGCAACATTGAATGGCTTGCGCTATTGCTCCTCTAAGCTCTTCAAGCATGCCTATGTTCGCCTTTGCATCAGGCCAAGAGCCTAGTCAGGGCGCACCCTTGTGACGTGGTGCTCAGAAGGTGGTTCCCGGCAACAGAAGCTGAGAAAAAAGTAGCTCTTTAGCGCAGCAACGCCAAGGTGTTCATCGCGCGCGCGAGTGAAAGGTGGTAGTGCTTGCTGTGTCATAGAGATTGGGGACATGTGCGTTGCGCCAACACAACAACTTCGTGGACGCAAATGCGTTGCGTGGCGAGGAAGCCATTTAGCCACATGCCCCGCGCAGAGATGCCCAGCCTTGCCGGGGGAGGCGAGCAGACGCCTTGTATGCAAGCACCTTATACTCGGGTCAGGAGATAACCTCTGGTACCACCTGCGCAACCTTGTTCTGCGGAGGCGCGCAAGGGCATTGCTTACGCACCAGCGCGCGGGCCAGGCAAATGAAGCGAGCTTACGCCAAATTTAAATGAAAGGGCAGACGGTTGGAAAAAAGGGGAGGGAGCGGCGGGAAGGTCAAAAAAGAAGGGGGGGGGAAATAAAAGGGGGGAGGGTAAAAAATGGTGGAGGGGGAAGAAAAGGGAGGGGTTGATAAAAAGGTTCGAAGGGTCGAAACAAAGGTTCCTCGCCCTCACGTTACCTCTCGCGATCCTTGCGATAAAACGCGGCGCAGCCCGAGGACCAAAGCGGTGCTTTGTCCCCAAAGCAGCGGTGCGGCGTTCTGGAGGCCCTCGCGCGGCGCGGCTGGTTCCACGCGGAGCTGGCCACTTGGACAGGTCCCGGGTCCGTGCAAAGCGGGCTGCCCGCTTTGCTCCAAGCTGCAAAGCGGGCTGACTGCTTTGCTTCAAGCTGGATGGTTTCTTGGGTGACGTTTTCAAGGGAAACTAATTTTACACCTGTTTGAGGCTTTTTTGGCTTGCCCTGCAAAGGTCGTATTTTGGGTGGAACCCATGCTTGCCTCCAAGTGCAGACACTCACTAATTGTCGCTCGAGAGAGGGCAAACGGCTGATTGGGGTGGCAGGCAGGCAAGCAAGCAAGAAAGCAAGAAAGCAAGCAAGCAAACAAGCAAGCAAGCCAGCCAGCAAGCAACCAACCAAGCAAGCAAGCAAGGAAGCAAGCAAGCAAGGAAGCAAGCAAGCAAGCAAACAGGCAAGCATGCCTCCAAACGGAGACTTTCTAGGAACATTTCGGCGAGCCTAGCCCTTTCCCGAATGGCTCATATATTGTCTTGCAAGTTGCTGGTGAGGTCCGCGTTTGTATCCGCTTGGAACCTGCTGCGAAGGTCCTTGATTTCTCCCAGAATTGGTAAGCCTGTTAAAAGGGGCTTTCTCCAAGGCATTCATGGTACCAGCCATTGGCGGCCTTGATTCTCTTTGCGTTCGTTTTGTTTTTCTTCCAGTGTTGTTGTTTTCCTTTCTGATTTCCCTTTTGACCCCCTTTTTTTTGAGGCAACCGACTTTTTGGACTGGGTTGCCCAGTTGCCCGAAACCAGGGGACAACCGAAGACGAGGTGGACCGCCTGGGCTTCGGCCTCGCCCCGCACGGCTCCGCCGCCTCTGCGGCGCTGCTGCGCAGCGCGGCGCCGCTGCGCGCCCCGCAGCTCGCCCAGGCAGCGCTGCAGGCGCTGAGAGGCGGAGATGGGCGAAGTCCTGGTTCGGTTTGGCGCAAAGGAAACACCGGGCCCCTTGTCTCAGCATTCCCCTATACTGTAATTGGTGGTTTGGAGGCTTCCTCCTGATCGTTTTGGTCTTGGTCTGTCTCGGTGATTTCCCTTTCGTGTTTCGTGTCGTCGAGGACGGCGCCTGGCGGTGGCGGTGGCTGCGCCGCTGGTGCGCTCCGCGCTGCTCGCCGGCAGCCTCGAGGGGCTGCGGCACCTGCGGCTCCGTGGGGCGCTGAAGTTGGAGCTGGGTGACCCGCGGCAGCAGAGGCGGGGGGACGTGGGACGTGGAAGCGGAAGCGGAGGTTTGAAAAGGCCACAAAAGCAGGTTGTCCCATGATTTGGTCTGTGCAGCTGGTTGCAACATGATTGCAAGATGGACGATGGTTTCAGGGTTTCTTTCCCCATTCTGAGGCACTCCACACACATTCAAAGACGACCCTCCCCAAACCTCCGGAATCCTTTTCCCAGCCCTTTAGTTGAATTCTCCGCCCATTCCAGCCATGTCCACCCATTCCAACCGCCACTCTGCTAAGTTGGTTGAGTTTCTGTGGGGACTCGCATTGCAACCATCCCCCACCTTTGGTTGAACCAACCGCCGCCCGCTCCAGGCGCAACAGCCGCGCCTGGGCGGCCCTCTGCGACTGCGCGTGGCGCCTCGACGCGCAGCCGGACGCCGCTTCCCTCGGCGTCAGCGGGTTGGGCCTGGACCCGGCCACGCGGGAGCTGCTGCGCAGCTGGCCCGGCCAGGCGCAGCCGCTGTGCGGCCACTCCGAGAAGCCGGGGGGCCCAACACAGGAAGCACGGCCCAAAAAGGGGGGAAGGGAAGTATACGAAAAAGAAAAACGAGCAGAGAAGGCGAGGTTCTTGTTTTGCTAGTGTTTGTGTGCGTGCGGTGTTTGTTTCAGTCTTTTCGGTTTGGGCGAAGCTGAATCCAGTTGATATTTGCAAGTGGAAAATGTATTGGAAGAAGAGCCGGGAACAAAACCAAGGTTGAGAGATAGGACAACAAATAACGGCTGCTGATTAGTGCCCTGCCCCACCCCGCCCAGGTCGTCCAAGTCCAAACAAAAGCAGTTCTTGGAGGTTTCTCCTACCTCCCTGATGTGGGTCCTCTTGGGTCCTCTCCTGTCCTTTCCCTGTGTCCACTAGGAGTGAACTTGTGTTTTGCGTTTCCCAGTGCTTGAGAGGGACATTATTCATCAGAGCGCTTTTTGTTGTTTGGGGGACTGGCCTTGAAGTAGGGTGCCCTTGTCATGTCAAACCTTGTGTAGTACCAAATTTGCTGTTTCTTGGTCGCTGCTTGTTTGGAGGTCTTTTGCTGGCATCCTTGGCAATATGAAGACAAACAGTCTTGGACGACGTATTCGCAATTGTGTTTCTCGCGGAAGGTTGGCACTAGTCGGAGTGTCGGAGTGGGTTTTTGAGAGGCAACCGAAGACAAGGTGTGGCCGAACTTTGCAACCTTTGAAATGGACGTCTCGGGGACTTCGAGGGGATGGGTCTCATCAGGGACAGCGTGAGTCAACATGACCAGCCCCACCAGCATGGATGCGCACCAAGCTAGTCCGAAATGATGCTGGCGATGCTGGAGATTCTGCCTTGCTATATCCAAAAAGCCCAAGAAACCTAAACAACCTCTAAAAAGGGGGTGTATGGACGTACAATCTGGGCAGTTCAGGGTCCATGCTAGTACACGCGGTAGGTACATGCATAAAGGCAGGACATGGCATGACATGACAATGTACCTTACATACTATGATGATGTGTGTATATATATATATACATATTATGTATCATTTGTGTGTTTCACTTTGTCACCCGTAAGCGACTAAGAAAGTCGCACACCAGCAGAAGGCGTCCTTTCCGGTTTTCCAAGCCGCCGAGTTTGGAGACGTCCGTGGCCGCCGCCTTCGCTCGCCTGGGCTGCCAGACGCTTCTGGGCGAGCGCTGCGGTCATCTGCGGCTGCCGCTGCTGCTGCCGGATCTGAAGATCACGGTGCTGTGCCTGGAGGCCGAGGCCATGGTGCAGGAGACCAAGTGGTTGACCTTCGGCGACGTTCGATTTCGCGCGTTTGGCCAGCTTCCAGTTTCAAGGGCTCAGCGATGTTCCAAAAAAGGAAGTGGGGGTTGATCAAAGGTTTGGGGAAAACCACTAGTTGACCCATCATTTGGTGGCGTTTGGCCAGCTTCCGGTTTTGGGCGGTTTCAGACTGCAAAGCTTTTTCTGAGGACAACGGCCATTCTGTTGGCCTTGATTCGTCCCTTTTTGATGGTGCAGCCATGCCGGCTCTTCTTTTACTGCCCCATTGGCTCTAACCACTAAACAGATGATGTGTCAACCACTAAATGGGTCCCCACAAGTTTCGGGCGAACTGAAGATTGATCAACCCCCACGTTTTGGTTTCCGAGGCTTTGATCCCCGGTCAGGATCTGCAGAGCGAGGCTCGCTGGCTGCGGCCTTTGACGCAGCTGCAGGAGGGGTGAAGAACTCTGCATCTTTCGAGCATAGGTGTCCTTGTTGTTTGGTTTGGTTGAAAACTAGAGGGGGATTCCTGGTTTACCTGGTGGTTCAATCATCTACCAGGGCCATCTATTTTCCCCAAAAGGACACGTATGGTTTCGAGAGCCAAATCTCGGCTTTCGTTTGGTTTTGTTTCATGTTTGCACATCGGTGGTTTCGCCTGGAGATGTCCCGGATGGACAACATCCTTTCGGGATGGATGAACCCTTTCGAGCGGTTGAAGAAAACAACACCCAGCAACTTATTCAATATCGATTTTTGCTCATCCTATGTTCAAAATGCAAACTACATCTTTGAGTTTCTCCGGCTTCCCCCTTGTTGTTGCTCCTCATTTTTTTTTAAAGGCAAACCATATGTTTTCGAGTTTGCCGGTTTCCCCCCCTTGTGTTTTCTGCACCTCCTCCCTGGTGTGTCCTTTCTCTCTTCCTTTCGCCGGTTCCGCGCAGGTGGAGCAGCTGGAGCACCGGGGGTACAAGGTGCAGATCCTTTGGCACTGGCCGCAAGACCACGCGCGCCGCGGCCGCAGCTCTGAGCCACTGAGCGACTGCGCAAAGCGAAGCGAGCGAAGCGCGGGTGTCTGGGGCGGCGCGGGAAATCCCCCCCCCCCCCAAAAAAAAAAGGCGTTGGCGAAGGTTCACCAAACTGCATTTTTGGAGATGCGCGGCTTTTTCGAAGCCTGGATTGAAATTGAAGGTTGACCAAGCCCATGTAGATCCGCCGTACTCCGAGATGCACAGCTGTTTTGAAGGTTTGGGATACATCACCTTTTGGTCAGGGGCTGGTGTCGATGTGATTCAATGGGAAGCCACCAGTAAGCCGTCGCGTTTTTTTTTGGTGACCGAGACGCAAATCGATTTGGCCTGCAGCTTCTTTGAAGGGTACCCGCCATGTGAGTGGGATAAATTGATTTTTTTGGGACGCCTCTTTTGGTTGCTTGTAACGGGGAGGCAAAAGGCTTCCTCCCTCATTTTGTAAACCCAAAAATGAACCTGCCGTGTTGGGAGAACTCAATACTGGCTCTGATCCCCTAAACCGTCTTAACATACATTATTTTGCTGTCACCTGCTATTATTTGCCCCGCAGTTCTGGGAAAACAAAGGGACCCTAAACATCTTCTACCCAAGACTACTGATGATGCTTGCATTGGCTCACCATTTGTATGTTTCCTTTAACAGGTCTAGTAAGCCAAGCCAAGACACATCATCCCCAGCATCACCAGCATCTTTTCAAAACCAGCTAGGTCCTGTCTGTGACAAAGAAACGCTTTGTCCAAATGATGCTGGTGATGCTGGTGATGTTACCTCAATGTCACTAGGCGGGTCAAACGGAAATTCTGGTTGGTACAAAGTGGCGCCAACCTGATCCGATGGTGGTACACTCGTTCGGCGATCGGGTGACCATCCACAAATCTTTCGGAAAGAAACATCCATGGATTTGTCAAAAGGACACCCTTTACGTGTCTCCGGAGTTCGAATTTGGGCGTATATGTTGTTTTTTGGACCCGCAAAATGGTGCTTGTCCTTTTGGTGTTCCTTTCAAGCCACAGCCATATTTCAGAGGAGCCACACGCCCATTATATATACATATTATTATTATTCTTGTTATTATTATTATTATTATTACTATTATTATTATTATTGTTATTGTTATTATCATTAGTGTTATTATTTGCATTATTATCATTATTACAATTATCATCATTAATATTATTATTATCATTGTTATTATTATGATATACATCATTATGATGATTAGTATGATGATTATCATTATGGTTATTATTATTGTTATTATTTTTTATTATTATTGTTATTATCATTATTGTTATTATTTGCATTATTATCATTATTACAATTATCATCATGATTATTATTATTATTATTGTTATTATTATGATATACATCATTATGATGATTAGTATGATGATTATCATTATGGTTATTATTATTGTTATTATTTTTTTATTATTATTGTTATTATCATTATTGTTATTATTTGCATTATTATCATTATTACAAATATTATCATGATTATTATTATTGTTATTATTATGATATACATCATTATGATGATTAGTATGATGATTGTCATTATGGTTATTATTAATGTTATTGTTATTGTTATCATTGTTATTTTGTATATGTCACTTGAAAGAATAGACAGATCCAGATCCGCGACAGTTCTGAGGGCCCAGGAGCTGGTGCTGCGGAAGACGTTGGCTTCCGCGCTGCAGGCCGCTGTGCCCCGAAGCCGGCGCCGGGGGGCGCCGTCCTGAGTGCCCTGCGCTGAGCGGTTCGAGGGTGGACTTAAGCGCAACCACGCGGTAGCCTCAGGAAGCAAAACACGCATTTACATGGAAGGCCAGGCAAAAAGAGGGGAGAGCTTGGCCCGACTCAGTCAGCCTTGCGCATCTCAAGAAATGGAGTTTTCTTTTGCTAGCGTGTGAGTCACGAAGCAGAGGGCTTGGAACCTGGACATTGGAGCCCAAAGAAGGCCGACGGGCCAAAGACTGCCCAAAGCGTCAGGGAAAAGCGCGGAGCGAAGGCGCGAAGGCGTTTCGGGGTCAGACCCCGAAGGTTGGGGGCCGGCTCATTTTCGCTGCTTCGAGTTACCGGGGTGTTCTGGGGGATAGGTTGGAGTGTAATTGCCTGGTTTCTATGGGCATCATTGAGGCAATGTTGACCCCATATTAATCAACCCTGTTTATATCAATATGGGGGTCGGGGTGTTCCCCCCCAAGAGTGGTCTGACTTTCCCCCCACATGTCACGAAATGGACACTGGGGTCAACACTTCTCCAACTAGATCCTTCGCCAGATCAACGATCCTTCGCCAAACCTCACTCGAGACCGGCCGGTTTGAAAGCGGGACGCCAGGCCAGGACCAGACCCTCGAAGCGCAGGCGCGATTCGGGGCGAGCTCTCTTCTCCTTTTTGGTAGCTCACTTTTCGGGTTTTTGGGGTTTGAGTTTGAGTTTTTTGTCTTCTTTGTTTCTTGGGGTTAGTTTGGGGTTAGTTTGCTTGTTTGTTTGAGTTTTTTGGTCTTCTCTTCTTTTTTGGGGAGGGAGACGGGGGGTGTACTGCTTTTCAACCATGAACATCCTCTTGGTGCCGTAGCCAAAAACCAGTGGTTGGGGGGTGCTGGCTGGGGTTCAATTTTTGACATCACCTTTGGGCGACCGTTTTGAGGTTAACTTCCTGGGCACAAGAGAAAAGTCCTCCAAACATGATGTTCTCATTTGGGTTCGGTGAGGGGAACCCACCAGCTAGTTCCTTTAGCGGTCCACTTCTGGTTTGGGTCCTATGCGACTCTTTTGGCCCTTTCGACTTCTTATGAAGTGATTTTGACACCCATATCGAGAGATAACGTTGAGACCTTTTATTCCCAGAGGCAAAGCAGCCATCATGTCGCGCTGCTGCTGACCTTTATCGGTCGCCCTTCATTGGCATTTTTGCCCAGAGACATCATGGAGCGTCCCATGCCCGGGCAGAACTGGCGTTTGCCACCATTCTAGGGGTTGATTCCCCATTCGTTTCAACCATCGTTCTTTTTTGAAAAACCAGCTGCTTCACATGTTTTTTTTTTGTGGTTTCTAGAAAGAAGGATCCCTGGAGAGAATGGGGAAGCTACCCTTAGAACCATTGACTCGTCAACCCACTCGGCAGGGCCCTCGCGCTCGCCCCACGCGCCGTCCGCGCTCGCGCGGCCGGCGCCAGCGGCGCAGCCGGGGCCGCAGCCCGCGGCGGCCTCAGCCTCAGCGCCAACGGCGCCGGCGCCGGCGGCGCTGAGAGCGGCGCCCCCGCCGGGGCAGGGCGGCCTGCGGAAAAGATGGGGCAAGGATCAGATCTTGTGGAGAGTGGGCACGGAGAGAGTTTTGGGCGCTGGGACTGGGAGATTCTCTGGTGTTTCAAACCAAGAGGAAACACATTGTTGGCCCGAGTGGTGACTTTGAGAGGGCCAGGAAGGAGGTCTTGTGGAGAGACGGAGAGAGTTTGGGGGCTGGGGCTGGGAGATTCGCGCTGGAGACATCGATGTTCAAGTTGCGAACTCACCTTTTTAAGGTATGGGGTTGGTTTAGAGGGAAGCGAAAGGGAAAACAGCGCTTTTCTTGCTTCCGGTTTGCATTGGAAGGGAAACCTCCGGAAATGGTGAGATGTCTGAGTTTCACACCAGACATGAGGCAGTTGGTTTGTCTTTCAGCCTTCGACGGCCGTCCTCTCCAGCCAGACAAAGAGCTGGCAGAGCTATGTCACAAGCAGGACGGCAGGGCATTGGCTTAAGCAGGCGGACCATGGGGCCCTCCTAACTGAAGTCTCGTCCGAAACTATTTTAATATATCCTAGGGCGGGGACATTCTGTTCTTTGTGGAGCACCAAAGCTTATTTGTGATTTTCCAAGTGAAAGGGAATGGGCCCAACCCTGCGTGACAGTCAAACCCTGCACCGTTTGCATTGCCAAGCTTCGAAGGTTACACCCAACATGCCGAAGAAGAGGGGCCATTTTGGCAAAGGCGCGTGTTTGTTGGTTTGCCGGTTTCGCATGCGTTTCCTTTGACATCTTTGCCAGTTTTGCCCTGACGATTTACATCCCCGTAGTTTGACCTTGACTTCCAACTCTTATCGAACATGGGGCCAAATTGAGTCATGGCACACGACAAAAGCTTCCCACTTACCAGCAGTCCTGGGAGACCAAAAGGAGGTGACTTAGGATCATGTTTCCACCAGGGGCGTTTGAATCCCCAGATTTTGCCTCCAACTCGCGGAGTCGAGTCCGCGATGCCATGGAGACAAATGAAGCGGTGCTGCTGGCGGTGTGCGCCATGTTCCTTTGCCGGACTGGTACTTGTTGCGACCTTTTGGCATCTTTTGGCGTTCCGCCATTTTCCCTGTCAACCTCCAGACAGTTACCTGCATCAGCTGCAAAAAGATGACACCTCCCAAAAGATGGCCACGACCAGCAAAAGTCCGACTTCGCCTCCAAGGAAGTTTTTACATTGGCCAAGTCTTCCCCAGAATTAGCTCCCCTTTTTGTGTTTCTTGCTTTTTTGGGGGTCCCTTTGTTTTCCACTCACCAGGCAAAGATCTCATTTTTTGCTGGGGTCCAAGTCTCCAGCCTCTGGAGGTTCCTCTGGGGCTCCTGGGCCAACACGTTGCTGCTCTTCCGGGATCGCTTCGAGCGCCTCGGTGGCCTTTGGATCGAGCTTGGGGATAGAAATCGATGGGTTCTGGTTTCGATGGGTTTGATCCCCATTTGCCACGGAAACCCATCTTCCGAAAGGCCGCCTATGAATAGACTGGTCTCTGTGGATGCTTTGTGCCATATAGAAGTTGGAGAAGGTCGTTGGCTGACCGCTCGCCAAATCGTCATTCGGAGGGCGGACTGGCGAGGAAGCTGCGGGGAGTCGGGTTCATTGATCCGCAGGGTCATGAGCAACACACAATGTTGATGGATGTTGGTGTTTAGTGGTTCCCTATCAAAACGGCTTAATGCGCAAATGTCGTTAGCTGCTCATATGGTCAATTACTTTCCAGTGGGGATGTGCGGGGAAGTGGAAGTTGATGTTGGGCCAAATTGTTTTTGTTCCCAACATGTCCTGTCTGATCTGAGGGGACCAGCCACTTGCTTTCATCCACAAAACAACCAGGAGAACGGGACACTTTCCAGTGTTCTTGGCGGTAGCTTGGCATATTTGGACCGCCTATCGGTCCATGCCATTCGGATGAGGCATGTTGCCTTATGGCTGAGGCATGTACCCTTGATTCAGCTTCCCTCCAATTGGCCGTTTTGGAGGGGTTCCGGTTAAGGGGTGGTTTCCTATGTCCCCTCTACAAGAAGGGGTTCGAATCCCCAAACCACCAGTCTCTTGAGGATAGCCTGGCGGATTTCGGATTCCAAGATGACATACTTCGATCGCCTTCCATTTGCATTTGTTTTTTTTTTGTGAAACTTCCCTGTTGGTTTTAAAAGGTATTTTTTCACTGCTGGACATATTCTTTTTTTTTTGCCAGGGGTCGAAAAACCAACTGGAAGTCACCTGGGAGCCTCTTCCGGATAGGCTCTATCTCTTGGACTACGCCTTCGGTCATCTTCTTGCTGGATGCGTTGGACTGCAGGAGCAGTGGAGCGGTGTCGGCGTGGCGACTACGCCTTGGCCCAAAAATTATTGTGTCATGGTTTTTGGTATTGGTGTTGTCATTGGCTCTTCTTCTACCTTCTTCCTCTTCTTCTTTTTCTTCTTGTGTTCTTGTTTTCTTTCGCTTGTGCATTGATGTTGTTTTTCTTGCTCTTGCTGCTCTTGTTACTGTTCTTGTTCTTTAATTGCTCTTGATGTGGTTTTGGTTGTGGTAGTGGCGGGTGCGGGTGGCCGGTGTTGCGGTTGAGGTTGGGGTGGTGGCATTGCAGCAACAGCACCTCACCACCACAGCGGCTGCCGCTGAGCTCGATGTGCTGGATCGAGGTTCAGCTGGGTTTGTTTCCAAATGGGATGTGACCCCCCCTCCTCCACAATTGGCTCTACTTTCCATTGGGTTCTGCTTATCAAAAGGACACTGCCTCTTCAGCAACACCTAAAAAGCGGCAACCAACTCCAAAACGAAAGGGTGTGGACCAGCAAACGAGCGTGGCCCTCATAACAAAAAGCACGACAACAACACACCCCATGACATCATCGTTATAAACTCGCGCATGCTCGCGATCGCGAAACCAGCAGAGATCCAAGAGAACAAAAGATGGGTTCCCCGCAAAAGAGCTCACCAACCAACCAACCAACCAACCAGCCAGCCAGCCAGCCAACCAACCAACCAACCAACCAACCAAGCAACCAACCAACCAACCAACCAAGCAAGCAACCAACCAACCAACCAACCAACCAACCAACCAACCAACCAACCAACCAACCAACCAACCAACCAACCAAAGAAAAAGAAGAAGAAGGAAGAAAGCAAGCAATCAATCAAGCAATCAAACAAAGCAAACTACAAAGCAACAACGGGTCACGTGCGTCCTTCTCCCGACCTTCACTTCGGCTCCTTGACCCAAACAGCCGCCGGGGGTTTTGAGGACGCGGTGCTGTCCCTGCGCCACGTGAGCGGCGGCGCGGGCGTGGGCGTGGTGCTGGCCAGCGGCTGCGCGGGGGTGCTCTTCGCCATAGGCAGCACATGGTCGCGCGGAACGGCGAGTGATGCCGAGTGCGTGGAGGGTGGTAGGCGTAACCAAAGCCAGCGATGTGTTCTCGTTCTTTCCTTTTTGTGGGGGGGCGGGTGAGTAGGTGGGTGGGTGGGTGGGTGTTTCTTTCTTTCTTTCTTTCTTTCTTTCTTTCTTTCTTTCTTTCTTTCTTTCTTTCTTTCTGTCTTTTCTTTTTTTGGGGGGGGAAGGGGTGAGAGGTTGAACATGCTTGAACCTTGAGGAGCTTGGCTTCATGGGGCTCTCCAATGTTGCCCAACCCCGCTGGTTTTTTGAAATCCATCGACAATGGGCAGGAGAAATGCCATGGAATTGACCTCGAGCGCTGCACATGTTCGAAGCGAACAAGCCGGTTTGGCTTGGTTCATAGTTGTGTGGTGAAGAAGTGCTATGGGTGGCTCGTTTTTCTTAAGGTTGGATGGTTGGATATCAAGAAATGGGAAGCGACTCCTTTTCTTTTCCCCTCTCCCGCCCAAAAACAAACAGGGTACGGAGCCTCAGACAAAATTTGCCCACCCGTATGTCTTCATCGAAAGCTCCCCTCTTTCAGGTTCCCGGCCACGTGCAGCCTGGAGTGGAGATACTGTGGATGGACGAAATCCTTTTCGCACCACAGTTCAGAAACCCTAGAATGATATGATCCCCTGTAAATACCAACAAACGTTATGGTTTCAACCATGGTGTCTTGGGTGGTGCGAAATATGGGTGGTTTTCCCTTGGTCTTCCTTCAACACTTAACACCCATCCAAGAAAGGATCCGACTCCCATTTTGGGAAGCCAAATGAATGAAAACAAAAGCCCAACACAAATCAATCACATCCTTTTCCCACTCCGAAGAAGCACGCGACCGAGAATACAACAAGTCACAAAGAAGCAGCACCAAAAAGCAACAAGAAAGGACCCAACACACTCTTAGCAAAGGCAAAACCAATGGCCCAAGGACTCGTTCGGAGCCCACCCCCACCCCCAAGCCGTGCCGCTTCCAAAAGAGGCTCACTGCTGTGCGTGGCTTCCATCGACCTGGCCGGCATGGCGCTGCCCACCTTGGTGACACCTGTCTGATCGGTGCGAGAGATGCCAGGAATGAGTTGGATGGAATGACCCCCAGGAAAACCATCCAACTGCTGGTGTCCTTTTCGGGAATCCCTGGGTTCATTCCAAGTCTCATTCCCTACTGAGCACCAGCAAGAATTTGTCCGAACATGGGATCGCCGTTGGTTGGACAAGAAAGATTCGAGGTGTCAACCACATCAAAAAAAGTGACCCACAAAACCTCACGCCTGGCGGCCCGAAATGGAATATTGAGATCAATCCCCAGGTACTAAACGGACTTAAGGAACACCTCCCTACTCCAAATACCAGCACCTGGGTCCCAACCACTTGTCGGACAGTACATGGGATGGTGGGAAACAGAAGTTGGGGGTGCCCCCCCGAATATTGACCCAGATTTATAACCCCGCCCAATCAATAGGGGGTTGGGGGAAACCCCTCCAACAGTGTTGATTCCCCAAACCCAGGGACACCCCGATTAATAGGGGTTGATTAATGGGTCAGCAATACTCCAAATAGCACCCAGCACCCGGGTCCTGACCACTGGGTTTTGGTGACCGTAGTAAGGTAATTTTGGACCTGATTGTGAAAACATTGGGGGGTAGTGGACTGGTTTGCTTGGAGTATGTGTTGTTTTTGTCTTTTGTTTGAGGACACCCCTGTTGAAGCTGGTAACGAAAACTAAACGGACACCGCAGCGCCATTTTGGTGGTTCCCCCATTGTTTTTAGGAGGGCCTCAAAATGGCGTAACGTTTCCATACAGGTGTGTCTCGAAATGAGGTAATTCGCAACTCCTATAATGGCGTAATGAGTTCCTTTCGCCTTCCGAATATGCAATCACAAAAAAGCAAACAAAGGTGTACCACCAAACACCGAAGGAGACAAAAACACACACCACCAAACAGCCCCAAGACACACACACACAACACAACAAACAGCCCCAAAATTCCACCACAGGTCACCACAAGGGGGGGGGTGGTCCCCGCCCTTTCCCCATGCGCAACCAGGATGCTCTCCGTGGAGATGGCGCTCGGGGTGCCGCTGCTGCTTCTCATCGAGGGCTGGGGCACCGCCGGTCACGTGGCCCTGACCCTCTCAGGCGGGTTTGCGGGAGCGCGGGGTGGGACAGATGTCCGCTGGGAGTCATTTTTCCCGTCCTCTCCTTGTGTCCACCTTTTTTAAGGAGGCAGTTTCAACTGCCAATCCAACGTTTAAGGGCTATGAACAACAGCAAGCCTTTTGGGGTTCAAGTGGCCCTTCTCCCAATCCAAAGTGCCCAAAGCCAATCCAAGCCAGGCGTGATGGCGGTTCTCTTGGCCGCCCTCTTCGACGGTTGGTGCCACTGGTCCCTGCAGTGCGACCGCGCGCGCGCGGAGCGCGCCGAGCGCCTGGAGCGCTTCGAGCGCTCGGAGCTGGAGGCGCTGCCAGGCCAATGCCTCGGGCTGTCGCATCTCGGCGTGATCGGCTCCGAGCGCCGCGATCGGCGCCCGTGTTTTTTTGTTTGTTTGGTTGTTTCCTGAGTTGGACTTGATATTTTTTTTGGGGCACATGGTGACAAACAAACAAGGCTTGGACTTTTTCTTGGCCAATCCACTGTGAGCTGGGGGGGGACCTTGAAAATCGAGGGCCAAGAAAAGATGGGAGACTTGTTTATCCAGATGGTTTCGAAGGCGAACAAGGAACTCCAATAAAGCACGCATCTGTCTTCGCACATGGGGAAACTTGCTATTTCCCTCAAAGTAACCCAGTCAACCAACAACACCAGGGTGCCCCTTTTTCCCCCTAGAAACGTCCCCGGAACTAGTTCTCCTTTTCGTGTTTTTTTTGTGTGCTCTTTTGGGACCCTCTTGGTTTTCAGGCAAAAATACATGCCTCCTTTTTTTCTCCGGTCCTATCTTCCTGCCGAGTTGACCGCCACCCACGCCTTGCCCAAGCGACCGAGGAGCCAATTCAGCAGCCTCAGCTTCTGGTCCTTCCGCGCCTCCTTGGCTGCCAGCGACCGCGCGGAGCGCTCCGCCGCGGAGCGCTCGGCGGATCGGGCGACGGCGACGCTCAGTTTCCTGGCGCACGGCTCCATCCCGTCGCTGATTCCGCAGGCGTGGAGGGGGGGGTTTGGGCGGGGAGAAATTCCTGGTGTGTCACTTTCTGTGTGTGAGTGAGTGTCTGTGTGTAAGTGTGTCTGTGGTTTTTGTGGCTGCGTGAGTATGTGTGTTTTTTGGGTATCATGTCTGGCATTTTCAAGGAAGGCCTTGCCATTTTTGGTGTCCATGGCCTTGCGTGCTCACCGCTTTTCCCCCTTGAGCGTCCAGGTTCGGAGGAGTCAGCGAAATGTGCGAGGCAGGAGTCGCGATTCTTACTTGGTTGCGGGTGTGACCGAACCGTCCAAAAGGAGGGACCTTTTGAAAACAAACGACTATTCTGCTAAACCTACAAAAGGTGGTCGACCTTTTGCACAGGGGGCTTGGAGAAAATCCAGTTGAGTGAGCAAGTTTGGGTGCGTCTCAAAATGGGAATCGGAACCCTCAGAGTTGCTGGGTCCCCCCTTTTTTGTTTCCCAATTTGACACCAACCCCAAGAAAAGGGGCTTTTCCCTTGAGACTTGAAACCACCCCCCCTCCGGACGCGCGCCTCGCCTTCGCCTGAGGTGAGAGGTCTTCGAAAGCCACGGGCCTGGCGTTGGCCGCCTGTGGCGGCGCCTGCTTCGCCCTGTGGCCCTGCGTGGGGTCGCTGGTGGAGGGCCAGGGCTCCGCAGACTGCCGCGTCTGCCTGAGGCAGGGGGCGCATCGGAGCCGGGAGTTCGTTCGTTTTTTTCTCCGCGGGTGCGGGTAGCTTTTCCGGTGGGCGCTTTTCAAAGGGCAAAAGCCGCCGTTGACGCCAAGAGGGGCCTCTTCTTTCGAGAAAAACCGTCACCCCTCAATAAGAACACGGCCAAGTGGACCCAAAGCTGATGGGGTTCACTTTGGCAACATGTTGCGTCCATCGTGGGGGTTTGCCACATGCAACATGTTGGGCGTCTCAAAATAGGAATCGGAACCCCAACATGGCAAACGGGTTGCTTTTGCTTTGCCTTTAACACCCAGCCAACAGGGGTACCATCAAAAAAGGACGAGCCACCCATATTAAAAAAAAGGAGAAAAGAGGGGTTTTGGAGTAGAAGGTAGATGTCCCTTCAGGCACACCCTCCCTGTGTAGTTGCCCAACACGTTTTCGCAAGGGCTTGCCCCCGCTCGAGGCCGGCCGCCTTCTTTCTGCTCTATGCCACGCGGTTCCATTGAGGCATGTTTTGGCTTGTTACATCCGTGTTTTGCTTCTGCACAGTGTTGGGTTTGGCTCAACAAGTTGAAGTCGCCGACTTTTTTGCGCGCACATGCTCGTTTTTCTCCCTTGCAGGTCTGTCCTGCTTCTACAAAGTCAGAAAGATGCGTGCAGCGTCCTAAAGCATCCAAAGGGCTGAGTCGTTTTTTCCTTCAAGACCCAGGGGCGGGTTCGCTGAGGTTCCCTTGCTTCCCTCAAGGCCCCAACTTGGGCACGAAGACTGAGACATCTTTGGTCTGTTCCAAACGCTCCTCTCTTCGCGGCCCTTGTTTTCTTGGCCTCAAAACTATCCAAAAAGGGGGTTCTTGACATACAGGGCTTCTGTTTTCCTTTGATTTCTTTTTACATCAACCTCGAAAGTGATTGGTGTCTGATTGCTCTGTTTTTTATAGTTTCCTTTGGCTTTCCCTCAAACCACACAAGGATAATATGAGTATGTGTCAAAAGAGGGAGTCACCCATAACTGGCAGGCTTTCCTGTTGGCGTCCCTTGAAACCAACCTTAAACAGGGTACCCTTAAAAACGCTCTGCCATATGGCTGTGTGACTGTTTTTGGGAGGTACCCGCATTGAGGTTTGTTTAAGGGGATCTTACTAAGAAAACCCAACATGCTTTTGGATCCCAGCTATTTTAACACATACCTACAATGGGTGTGTCTTTTTCGAGGTACCTCTTCTTTTGTGGTGGCTTTTAAAAGACAACCAGAAGGGAAACCGACGCCATCTTGAGGGTCCCGGAACAAAATACCGAAAAGACATACCCGCATGCTCACTCCCTGAGTTCATGGACTAAACTTTCTGGGAAGACAATCTTAGTGGTAAACAGACAGTTTGCATATGTGTTTGCCAGTTGACGCAGGAAGTGAGAGCATGCTTAGGCACAGTTGTTTAAACATGTTGAAACACCAGGTCTTTCCACTGGTAGCTTTGTTAGCTAAGCCAAGAAGCTGCAGTTTACCGTGGGAATCCCAAAGCCCTGCGAATTGATAGTTTTCTCTGGGCTCGGGAGGCGCCCGTTTGGTTTTCAAGGTTGGGGGGTTATCCAGGTCAAGGGTTGCTTTCCTTTCACCTCACGCAAACCCATGGGGTGGGCAGAAAACCGAAAACCCAAGCAAACGAGAGACGAGAGCAACCCCCAGCAAACATATCCCTTTTTTTTTCATTTTCATTCGGGGGGGGTTTTCCTTTCAACTCTCCTTGGAAATGACCATGGGAGTTTTATGACTGTCACGGCCGGATCCTAGGATTATATATGTAATCCACACCTCTCCCGCTGGCAGCTTTGGCGCAAGACCTGCAGTGCCCAGGCCGCAGGCGCGGTGCTGGCGGCCCTGGCGATTCTGCCCCCCATCTGCCGCTGGCCGCTGCACTCAGGCGCCGAGTCTCGTGGTTTCGGTTGGGTTTGCCGTTTCGAAAGGGGCGGCAAGTCACAGAAGGGGCTAGAAGGGGCTATATGGCTGCGGGTCAACACCAATGGTACCATTTTGGAGCAGGTGCACCACCCATTTTAGAACCTATTTTTGTGGGGATTGGGATGTTCACTGGGGGTACGGGATTTTGGCCCAATAGTTTGGTTGTATGATCATGACTCAAGCTAGTTTTGAAGTACTCCGCAACCCCATTCGAATTAGTAGGCATGGGGGGGGCTATTCAAACAAATGCCCATCGCAGAAAAAAAAAAACCTCTTTGGGGTTGATCGGGCCAGGTAGGCTCCCTTTCGTGGTTCGGAACGGTAGAACAAGGCTTTTCGGGTTCGGGGTTCGGGGTTCGGGTACAAAGGGCTTGCTGTTGATATAACCTATAACCTAGGCTTATTCTCTTGCACACACACACACACACATCCCGTATTTGGGTTTTCCAGGGATCTTCGAGAGGGAAGCCGAAAGACAAAAGCCCCGGAAAGTACGTTTCACTGGCTAGCGCCACTTGGTGGCCGCTTGATCCTTCAGCTTACCTTTCGCAAACCCATGTGGGGTTGTCTCAACAAAGAAACACACGCACACACACACCCACACACACACACACACACACACACACACACACACACACACACACACACACACACACACACACACACACACACACACACACACACACACACACACACACACACACACTCACACACACACACTAACACACACACACACACACACACACACACACACACACACACACACACACACACACACACACACACACACTCACACACACAAACACACACTCACACACACACACACACACACACACACACACACACACACACACACACACACACACACACACACACACACACACACACACACACACACACACACACACACACACTCAAACAAACACACACACACACACACACACACACACACACACACACACACACACACACACACACACACACACACACACACACACACACACACACACACACACACTCACACACAGACACACACACACACACACACTCACACACACACACACACACACACACACACACACACACACACACACACACACACACACACACACACACACACACAAACCCACACACACACACACACACACACACACACACACACACACACACACACACACACACACACACACACACACACACACACACACACACACACACACACACACACACACACACACACACACACACACACACAAAACACAAAAAACACACACACACACACACACACACACACACACACACACACACACACACACACACACACACACACACACACACACACACACACACACACACACACACACACACACACACACACACACACACACACACACACACACACACACACACAACAAACACACACACACACACACACACACACACACACACACACACACACACACACACACACACACACACACACACACACACACACACACACACACACACACACACACACACACACACACACACACACACACACACCACAAACACACACACACACACACACACACACACACACACACACACACACACACACACACACACACACACACACACACACACACACACACACACACACACACACACACACACACACACACACACACACACACACACACACACACACACACA